GCACCGTCTACGGACCTGCCCCTGAACCGCGCGAACCGACCTACATCCCTGGCACGATCTCCGGAACCAACATCCCTTACTCCATCATCCGCGACAGAGAGTTTCTCGCCCTCATGCTAACGACGGCGAACGAGGAAGAAGAAGAAAATGAGGAAGCAGCTCCCACACCTGCATCGGCACCTGACGAAGACCCCGCAGCTGCACTTGCGCGCTACATGCGCACCTCCGGATTCCGCGCCGACGATGCCATCTGGCATCAGCGCTTAGGTCACCCTTCGCGCACGACTCTGTATCGAAGCCGGCGTCTTCGCACCTGGCGCGCTGCTGCGCCCTGATGGCTCCGAAGTGAGAGGAGGAACTCACCCGCGCAGTTGCACCGTCTGCCCCGAAGCAGCGCTGAGCCACCAGCCCTTCCCCCTACTCGGCCCAGGAACCAATCGCTACGCCAAGCTGGAGAAGGTTTACAGTGATTTCCTCAACGTAGGTCACTGCGGCATCAACGACGAGCTCTACACACTCACCTTCATCGACGCCGGAACACGCCACGTATGGGTCGTAAACGTGGAAGCACGCAGCAGAGCCTACGAAGCTTTCCGCCTGTGGTTGGCGCACGCGCAGCGGCAATCTGGGGAGAAATTGAAGATCTGGCAGTCCGACGGTGCAGCGGAGTTCAGGAGCAAGGAGCTGCAGGATTTACTCGCGCAAAAGGGGATCGAGCATCAAATCTCTCTCCCCTACGCGCATCAGCAGCAGGGCGTAGCAGAACGCACGAATCGCACCCTCATGACGAAGGTGCGGGCGCTAATGCGGCAGGCGAAGCTCCCGCCGATTTACTGGACCTACGCGATGCACCACGCCGTGCGGGTGCACAACTTGCTGTCAACCACCGCAATCACCGGCAACTCCTCGCCGCATGTGAAATGGACAGGAAGAAAGGGAGACACCTCCATGCTCCGTGTCTGGGGATGCATGGTTCAATACCGACCGCCAACATCAACCATCGGGAAGTTCAAGAGCCGCGCGCGCTGGGGAATCCACCTCGGCATCAGTCACGAACACAAGGCATGGATCATCCTGGACCTCCTAAGCCAGAAAATCAAGAATGCAAGCGACGTCATCTTCTACGAGCGGCTGTTTCTGCAACAATTCCGCGAGGACGAGCAGACGAACGCAAACCGCGTCTACGCCAACGAGGGTCACAGCTACGCCTCACCTAAGGACGAAGCTGCAGCGGCAATTCTGGAGCAGGACCCCAGAGGAGAGTTCACAAGGGGCGATCGCCGCGACAACGACGACGACGACGATGATTCAGGAGAAGGAGGAGCGGGCGCAACAGGAGGCACAGCGGGAGAAGGCGCAGCAGGAGGAAGCGGAAGCGGCGGAGACGCAGCACCACCAGCACCGCCTGAACCAGAAAGCGATGATGACGACGTGCAGGAAGTCGTCACCCAACATCGCCATGACAGCACCATCACTGGCCTTCAACTCCTGGGACTGCACGCTGCCGTCTCCCCTGCTCCGCGCATCATCGAGCCTAAAAACCCACGGCAAGCTCTCACAGGCCCACACAGCAAGGAGTGGCGCGAAGCAATGGACGCGGAGATTCAGGCGCTTGAGTCACGCGACACTTGGGTGCTCGTCGACCGTGCAGCAGTGAAGGGCAGAAGGATCCTCTCTGGCAAATGGGTCTTCCGCGTGAAGACAAGAGCTGACGGAACGATCGAGCGATTTAAGGCGCGCTGGGTGGTGCGCGGCTACGATCAGAGGCACGGGATTGATTTCGACCAAACATTTGCACCGGTCAGCCGTCACACGTCCGTCAGAATTCTGCTCGCCATCGCAGCCGCACGTCACCTACCACTTCGGCAGATCGATGTGAAGAATGCGTTCCTGTACGCATTAGTGGACGCCGTGATCTACGTGGAGCAGCCGCACACATACGGCGACGGGGATCCACGCGTCTGTCAGCTGCGCAAGTCCCTCTACGGGATCAAACAAGCACCAAGGCTCTGGCAGCAGTACCTGCACAACATACTGCTTGAAATCGGATTCAAGCAGCTGCCTCACGATCCTGGGATGTATCGCCGCGATTTCCGCGGCGAATACATCCTACTCACGGTCTACGTCGACGACCTCCTTTACACAGGCTCAAACAATGAACTGCTGGAGCAATTCGAGAAGATGCTCGCAGGGCGCGTCGACATCACCTGCAACCACGACGTGAAGCAGTTCCTCGGACTCAACATAACTTACGCGCCGGAAGCCATTCATCTCTCAGCAGCGAAGTATGCGGAGGAACTTAGCAAGCGTTTCAACATTGCGTCTGCACCACTCTCCACCCCTTACCGCACTCCAGGACCCAACCACAAGCCTGACGACAAATCCATGTCCCCTGCTGGGCTACACACTTACCAGCAGCAGTTGGGGTGCCTGCTCTTCGCATCAGTCACCTGCAGGCCCGACCTCTCCTACATCGCAAGCCAGTTGGCTCAGTACTCACGCAAACCAACGGCTGAGAACCTCTCAGATCTTTAGCGAGCCCTTCAATTCTTCATCTCCACACCCAATGTCGGGCTCAGCTACTCCACCATCCCAACCGCATCCTTCAGTCTCGTCGGCTACGTGGATGCTGATCACGCCGCTGATCCTGACAATCGACGGTCCAGGACAGGGTTCCTCTTCCGTCTCGAGCCCAGCGGCCCCATCTCTTGGAACTCTCAGAAGCAGGAGTTGGTTGCCCTGTCATCGGCAGAGGCTGAATTCATCGCAGCAACCGCAGCTGTTAGCGAAGGTCTCTACCTCCAGGAGCTGCTGAAGGAAGCGAAAATTCCGGCTTCAACGAACTTTCGCCTGCACTGCGACAACCAGAGCGCGATCAGGATCGCGAACAAACCTGGCTTCGTCAACCGTACCAAGCACATCGCACTGCGGTACTTCTTCGTCAAAGACGAAGTTGACAAAGGCAAGGTTGACCTGACATACTGCCCTACGGGTGACATGGCAGCAGACTTCCTCACGAAGAAACTGCCACGTCAGCAGTACCAGCACTGCTCCGAACTCAGCGGGGTAGTCAAGCGGGTCAATGTTCGCCACGGCCAGGAGTGAAGGGGGGTGTTACGAATAGTGGTTAGTGAAAACACTATTGATCACTCCTCACCGTAGCAAAGCCGAAGCACGCAGTATCGAGAGTGAAGACGAAAGGACAGAAGTAATGCGAAGGGACAGACGGTTACGAGGTGCATCTGGACCGTCGGGCAGACAGCATCAGGCAGCCGCAGTGGCGAGGATTCTGCCCGAACAGTTCCGTAACCACCCGGAGTCGCACGGTTGGTTTTCGCTGTAATAAGGGAATGTACCCCTTAGAGTACATGGCTAGCTAGGTCGTTTCGTATCCCCCTGTACTCTTATTTATATTCCGTGTACTGCATGTTTTTATTATCTCAAGCGTTTACATTCACTCTGCTATTGAGGTCAAGGGCCCACCACCACTAGATTAGAAGTGTGTGAACCTTCCTGAGGTGATCCTGGTTACGATCAACTTCTGATCGCAGCAGTTCACAATAAAGCTATCGCTCTTTATGGTGGTATAGAGAGCATCAGCCCATGTGTCCGGCACACCGGGCAGACAGAAATGCAGTCAGTCCCTTCCCCCGTCGTATGCCTGCCTACTCTCTATCTAGCCGCATTGTTCACAATGAGCCGGTCGTTCTTCATGGTGGTATAGAGCGCATCAGCCCATGTGTCCGGCAGTCCCGGCAAGCAGAAATGCAGGCAGTGCCTCCTCTCCTACTCTACTTAGCTGCATTATTCACAATGAACCGGTCGTTCTTCATGGTGGTAAACAGCGCATCGGCCCATGTGTCCGGCACGCCCGGTATGCAACAACGCAGGCAGTGCCTCCCCCCACTAGACGCTTTCAGCCTAGGCCAGTAAAAGCCCTCAAAACCCTCTATTTAGCCACATTATTCACAATGAACCGGTCGTTCTTCATGGTGGTAAACAGCGCATCGGCCCATGTGTCCGGCACTCCCGGCAAGCAGAAATGCAGGCAGTGCCTCCTCTCCTACTCTACTTAGCTGCATTATTCACAATGAACCGGTCGTTCTTCATGGTGGTAAACAGCGCATCGGCCCATGTGTCCGGCACTCCCGGCAAGCAGAAATGCAGGCAGTGCCTCCTCTCCTACTCTATTTAGCCACATTATTCACAATGAACCGGTCGTTCTTCATGGTGGTAAACAGCGCATCGGCCCATGTGTCCGGCACTCCCGGCAAGCAGAAATGCAGGCAGTGCCTCCTCTCCTACTCTACTTAGCTGCATTATTCACAATGAACCGGTCGTTCTTCATGGTGGTAAACAGCGCATCGGCCCATGTGTCCGGCACTCCCGGCAAGCAGAAATGCAGGCAGTGCCTCCTCTCCTACTCTATTTAGCCACATTATTCACAATGAACCGGTCGTTCTTCATGGTGGTAAACAGCGCATCGGCCCATGTGTCCGGCACTCCCGGCAAGCAGAAATGCAGGCAGTGCCTCCTCTCCTACTCTACTTAGCTGCATTATTCACAATGAACCGGTCGTTCTTCATGGTGGTAAACAGCGCATCGGCCCATGTGTCCGGCACTCCCGGCAAGCAGAAATGCAGGCAGTGCCTCCTCTCCTACTCTATTTAGCCACATTATTCACAATGAACCGGTCGTTCTTCATGGTGGTAAACAGCGCATCGGCCCATGTGTCCGGCACTCCCGGCAAGCAGAAATGCAGGCAGTGCCTCCTCTCCTACTCTACTTAGCTGCATTATTCACAATGAACCGGTCGTTCTTCATGGTGGTAAACAGCGCATCGGCCCATGTGTCCGGCACTCCCGGCAAGCAGAAATGCAGGCAGTGCCTCCTCTCCTACTCTACTTAGCTGCATTATTCACAATGAACCGGTCGTTCTTCATGGTGGTATAGAGAGCATCAGCCCATGTGTCCGACACACTCGGTAAGCACTCCTACCTCTACTTGGCAGCATTGTTCACAATGAACCGGTCGTTCTTCATGGTGGTAAATAGAGCATCCGCCCATGTATCAGGCACACCGGGCAGGCAGAAATGCAGGCAGTCTCTCCCCCCATCACGCGCCCCATTGGACGACATGAAGGCATCCCCTCGGAACATTGAGAGGTAGGTGATAGGGAGGAAGCGGAAGGGGCGGCGGTTTTGGAAGACTTTTTGTTGGATGGGGAGGAAACCCTTGGATGCCTTGTTGTCACCAAACAGAGATGTAACCTGGTAACGGGAGAGGGGAGGTGAGGAGGGAGGGGACAAGGGTACGTGGGTGGGCGGCGGTTCTGGAAGACTTTCTGCTGGATGGGGAGGAAACCCTTGGATGCCTTGTTGTCACCGAACAGAGATGAGACCTGGTTGTGGGGGGGGGGGGGGAGAGGGAGGAGGGGGATGACTATATGAGCAGCAAGCGGAAGGGGCGGCGGTTCTGGAAGACTTTTTGTTGGATGGGGAGGAAGCCGCGAGACACCTTGTTGTCACCGAACAGAGATGAGACCTGGTTGTGGGGGGGGGGGGGGGAGAGGGAGGAGGGGGATGACTATATGAGCAGGTAGCAGAAGGGGCGGCGGTTCTTCATGGTGGTATAAAGAGCATCCGCCCATGTATCAGGCACACCGGGCAGGCAGAAATGCAGGCAGCCTCTCCTCCTCCTCTATTTAGCTGCATTATTCACAATGAACCTGTCGTTCTTCATGGTGGTAAACAGTGCATCGGCCCATGTATCAGGCACGCCTGGCAGGCAGAAATGCAGGCAGTCTCTCCCCCCATCACGCGCCCCACTAGATGACATGAAGGCATCCCCTCGGAACATTGAGAGGTAGGTGATGGGGAGGAAGCGGAAGGGGCGGCGGTTCTGGAAGACTTTCTGCTGGATGGGGAGGAAACCCTTGGATGCCTTGTTGTCACCGAACAGAGATGTGACCTGGTTACATAAGGGAGGAGAGGGAGGAGAGGAAGGAAGGAGACTACTATATCAGCAGGAAGCGGGGGCAGCGGTTTTGGAAGTTTTTTTGCTGGATGGGAAGGAAGCCGTGCGATGCCTTGTTGTTGTCACAGAAGAGAGATGAGAGTAAAAGTAGGGCATGGGAAAGGGCTTGCCCTGTGTGGTGAGTGCTAGACACAACCAACATTCTGCCTCTGCTGCACACCCACCTGTTTTAAGGCTCTGTATCACAGATCTCCTATTCCCCTACCTGATTTAAAGCTCTGTATCACAGTTCTCCTGTTCCCCTACCTGCTGTGGCGAGCTGAGGGAAGAGACGTTTTCGCAGCCGTTGAGGCGAGGGGGTGCCGAGAGGAAGTAGGGCACTGGGAAGGGCATGTGGATGGTACCAGATACAACAAACCAGCTTCTGTCCATGCTGCACCCACCTGCTGTGGCGAGCTGAGCGAGGAGACGTTCTGGCAGCCGTTGAGACGAGGTGGGGCCGAGAGGAAGTAGGGGACTGGGAAGGGCTTTCCCCTCTTGTTGCGCCCTGCGAATGCGTTGAACACTGTTCTCATGCCGATCCTGTGGTAAGGGGGGATGATAAGTGAAGGGGGGAGGAGGGATAAAGGGGAGTTGAGGGAAGGGAGAGCAGTAATGACAGGAAGTAGGGCACTGGGAAGGGCTTTCCCCTCTTGTTGCGCCCTGCGAATGCGTTGAACACTGTTCTCATGCCGATTCTGTGAGGGGAGAGAGGGAGACAGGAGTAGGGGAGAGCAGTAATGACAGGAAGTAGGGCACTGGGAAGGGCTTTCCCCTCTTGTTGCGCCCTGCGAATGCGCTGAACACTGTTCTCATGCCGATTCTGTGAGGGGAGAGAGGGAGACAGGAGTAGGGGAGAGCAGTAATGACAGGAAGTAGGGCACTGGGAAGGGCTTTCCCCTCTTGTTGCGCCCTGCGAATGCGTTGAACACTGTTCTCATGCCGATTCTGTGAGGGGAGAGAGGGAGACAGGAGTAGGGGAGAGCAGTAATGACAGGAAGTAGGGCACTGGGAAGGGCTTTCCCCTCTTGTTGCGCCCTGCGAATGCGTTGAACACTGTTCTCATGCCGATTCTGTGAGGGGAGAGAGGGAGACAGGAGTAGGGGAGAGCAGTAATGACAGGAAGTAGGGCACTGGGAAGGGCTTTCCCCTCTTGTTGCGCCCTGCGAATGCGTTGAACACTGTTCTCATGCCGATTCTGTGAGGGGAGAGAGGGAGACAGGAGTAGGGGAGAGCAGTAATGACAGGAAGTAGGGCACTGGGAAGGGCTTTCCCCTCTTGTTGCGCCCTGCGAATGCGCTGAACACTGTTCTCATGCCGATTCTGTGAGGGGAGAGAGGGAGACAGGAGTAGGGGAGAGCAGTAATGACAGGAAGTAGGGCACTGGGAAGGGCTTTCCCCTCTTGTTGCGCCCTGCGAATGCGTTGAACACTGTTCTCATGCCGATCCTGTGGTAAGGGAAGTATGGGAGACAGGAGTAGGGGAGAGCAGCAATGAGAGAAAGTAGGGACCTGGGAAGGGTTTTCCTCTCTTGTTGCGCCCTGCGAACGCAATGAACACGGTCCGCATGCCGATTTTGTAAGGGGAGAGGGGGGAGACGGGAGAGAGGAGAGGGTTAAAGGAGAGAGGAGAGAGACGAAAGAGGAGGGACGAGCAGTTAATGAGAGAGAAGGCTAATAACGTCTCGCCACCTCGCGAATTACGTCATGCCTCAACCCAGCAATCATAAGGGAGACTAGTGTATGTTTTTTCGAGAATTCTCAAAAAGCATACATTACGTCATGCCTCACCCAGCAATCATAAGAGAGACTAGCAAGCACAGAGGAGAAAAAGCTCAACGTAAGCTCTAAGTTGTTAGATTGCAATGAAACCGGATCTGGTTTCATCGCAATCTAGCAAGCAACCATCAACATAACATCACAGCAGTTCAATTAACCAGCAAAGAAAAGACTAGCTACCTGTGACAAGATAACTTACGCGTATGCTTCATAGGTTTTAAGGAGCTGGCTTGATTACATTCCGGTTCTTATCAGCATAGCACCGCCGTGTAAGGTCACATTTCATTCATCCAGCAAAGACAATATTACCTACACGTGACAAGAAAACTCACTCGTTTGCTTCATAAGTCGAAGGAGCCGGTTTGATTGCATTTCAATTCGCATCAGCGTATTACCGCCGCATAAGGCCACATGTCAATCAAGCAGCTTTGACAAGACTAGCTACATGTGACAAGTAACTTACTCATATGCTTCATAAGTCGAAGGAGCCGGTTTGATGGCGTTCCAATTCGCGTCAGCATAGTACCGCCGTATAAGGCCACGCCCTGCCGGCCAGTCCGTGGCAGTCTGCAACACGATGACGTGGATCAAGTCGAGTTTTGCCGCCCAGGACGGCTCCAGCTTGTGGAGGTTCACCACGGTGTCCTGTAGAGCAGGCTTGGTGTTGCCGAACCTGGCGAGAGTCTGGTTCGGGGGACAGGAATGGGCGGGAACATGCCAAGGCTTGGTTTTGCCGGACCTAAACCGGCTATTGTTTGAAATGTAGGTAAAAACAAGAATACAGGGGTGAAGAGACAGAATGGGAAATGCAGAGACGAGCAAGAACGATAATGCAAATTCAGCGGATTGAAACCCGAAGGAAAATGCACAGGCTTTACAAGAGACCACCCTTTTATCTGTTCCCCCCCCCCCCCCCCCCCCCCCCCCCCTCCCACCCCCACCCCCACCCGACTTTGCAAGAAACTACTTTTTATCTCGTCCCCACTCCCCCTTCCACCCCCTCCACCCCCCCTCATCTGGTTGCTCCGGTCAATGGCGACCGGAACTGCGCCCAGTAGTCGACAAGTGTCACATTGTGACTCGACTCAAAAGTCTATTTTTTCCTTCACCATGCCCCCCCTCCTCCTCCCCTCAAAAGTCAACCACATTCTCCCCCACCACCACCCCCCTCCCCTCCTCACCTGGTTGCTCCGGTCAATCGCGACTAGGAACTGCGCCCAGAAGTTGACAAGTGTCACGTTGTGACTGGGCACGACGTAAACCTCGGCATCTCCAAACTTGTTGGGTTTAGCTAGCATCTTCACTTCTGTAAACTTGGCGATCTGAGGAAGCGTACGCGGGTGGAAGAGGAAAGGGAGGGAAAGGGAGGCGCAGAGCAGGCGAATTTCGAGTTAACATAAAGTGAGCATGTAGGGTCTCCCTGGCAAATCTACCCCTGTGCGAAAGTGGGATCTGGGGAGTGGGGAAGTTGGCAGGTGTCACGTTTGCGACTGGACTTATGGTACACCTCGATATCAGAAGATAAAACCACGCGATAACAATTCTGTTTAAAGACGTCTCAACAGAATTTTGTTAGTAATTGGCAGGTGTCACGTTGTGACTAAGCATATCGTACACCTCAGTATCCCACCAAAATTCGTTTGGTCTTGCAAATGCATTTTCTCCTCAATCTCTGGTTTGTACATGCAGCGTCTACACCCACAGGCGGAGAAGATATGTAGAATTGCGTTCTTACATTGCAGACGACTGCAAGGAGGAAGCCTCTAACGGAGATGGACTCGCCCACACTCGCAAATACTCTGTTAGGGGAGGCAAACGGACAAGGGAGGGAGGGAGGGAGCGAAGGAAGGAGAGAGGGAGGGAGAGAGGCAGGCAGTGAGTGCCAGATGGAGCAAGCAAGGGAGAATGGAAGCCTCTAACGGAGATGGACTCGCCCACACTCGCAAACACCCTGTTTGGGGAGGCAAATAGACAGATAAGGGAGGGAGGGGGAGGGAAGGACCCTGGTGCATGAGAGTGCATGCAGCGCGTGTGTGCATGTATATATTCGTGTGTGCACGTGAAAAGTGTGCGTGTATGTTTGTGTATATATTCGTGCATGTATGAGTGTGAATTTATCTGTGTGCATGTACCCCACACCATTCACGACTCACTTGTTCTTCATCAGTTTGAGGAACCCTGGTGCATTAAAGCGCATGCCATTCGCAGGGCACCCATTGGGTTTCCAGGACCAATACTGCACGGGACAGAGGATGAAATGGGGGGATGGGAGGATGACGGTGTGGCAAGGGACAGAGGATGAAGTGGGGGGATGGGAGGATGACGGTGTGGGAAGGGACAGAGGATGAAGTGGGGGGATGGGAGGATGACGGTGTTGGAAGGGACAGAGGATGAAATGGGGGGATGGGAGGATGACGGTGTGGGAAGGGACAGAGGATGAAGTGGGGGGATGGGAGGATGACGGTGTGGGAAGGGACAGAGGATGAAATGTGGGGATGGGAGGATGACGGTGTTGGAAGGGACAGAGGATGAAGTGGGGGGATGGGAGGATGACGACGTTGGGACGAATAGCGGAACATGAAACGGGGGGATGGGGTGAGGTATCGTAAGAACAAGCATGCCGTGTGTTAGACATCTGCGGGGAGATCCGTAATCTCGGCAATTTGGTTTTCAGCACGCGTAATGACGACGTGGGGAGGAACAGAGGAACGTGGACTCTCTGAGAGTGGAAGGAGGTGACAATCGGGAGAGGGGACGGATGGATGATGGGATTGCAGTTGAGGAAAGCCGAACACTACTCACGTTCTCACTGCTCACTTACTCCTTCTCTCACACGCTCGCTGCTCATTCCTCACTTCCTCTCGCTCTCATTGCTCTCTTTCTCTCGAGCTCACTTCTGCGTTCACTACACCGTCTCTGCCTTTCAAGGCAACACATACTACACCTACCAGCCAGTCCTTCGATCGCCCGCTTTGCCTCAGACGGTTGCTCACTCCCTGCGAGGTGGGACACGACACGCTCTCTCCCACGCTCAGTGCGCACTGTTTCCCACGCTCACTGCTCACTCTCTGCCGGTCGACGCCTAGCCTAGGCGCTCACCAGCCAGTCCTTCGATCGCCCGCTTTGCTTCATGCAGTTGCTCACTTCCTGAGGGGAAGGGCGGACTTTGTTGGAGCGCTCACCACTCACTACTCAATCTCTCCCGCGCTCAATAGTCACTCTCTGCCCATCAAAACAGACGAGTTCAACTCACAGGCACCTACCTACCAGCCAATCCTTGGATCGCCCGCTTTGCTTCAAGCAGCTGCTCACTCCCGAAGGGGCGGGACGAGCCTTCAGCAGATTACCCACTTGACACTCTTTTCCTGTCTAGGCACAGGCACTCACCAGCCAGTCTTTTGATCGCCCGCTTTGCCTCATGCAGTTGCTCACTCCCTGAGTAGAAAACCGGAAGGGGACGGTGGCAGGGGTGGGAAGGGGGGAAGGAGGGGACGAAGAGATTGCGTGAGAGTGGGGACAGGAGAAGGGTAAGAGGTGTTTCGAGTCGACTCAAAACACGATTTGCTTCATGCAGTTGCTCACTCCCTGGGTAGAAGGAAGGGGACGGTGACGGGGTGGAAGGGGGGAGGAGGGGACGAAGAGATAGTGTGAGAGTGGGGACAGGAGAAGGGGAAGAGGTGTTTCGAGTCGACTCAAAACACGATTTGCTTCATGCAGTTGCTCACTCCCTGGGTAGAAGGAAGGGGACGGTGACGGGGTGGAAGGGGGGAGGAGGGGACGAAGAGATAGTGTGAGAGTGGGGACAGGAGAAGGGTAAGAGGTGTTTCGAGTCGACTCAAAACACGATTTGCTTCATGCAGTTGCTCACTCCCTGGGTAGAAGGAAGGGGACGGTGACGGGGTGGAAGGGGGGAGGAGGGGACGAAGAGATAGTGTGAGAGTGGGGACAGGAGAAGGGCAAGAGGTGTTTTTAAGGCGTTCTGAACATGAGAGGTTTCTTAGCACAAGCACTGCCCCATGTCATGTACGCGCGTTACCCGTAGTGATGACTCTATTTTTTAGTCGACTCAAACTCTATTTTGAAAATAGTCTCATCACATGCCGATGTACTGTACGCGCGCTGCCCGCAGTGACCCCGCAAGTACTCGCTACCAGCTCCTTCGATTCAAGCCCAGATACACACCATGTACTTGCAGGTGCTGGCGTCGTAAGCGGGTCGGCTGTTGTCGCGTACCCACGTTCCTTGGCTGTAGTTTGTGCATCCTCCTGACCGGGCGAGAGAACGGGGAGGTAAAAGACGAGGATATTTGAATCAAAGGGTGAAGGAGAGCCAATCACAAAGCACTGTACAGACGCGGCGCGGGAACTGCTGTCAGGTGCAAGATGGGGGTTGAAACAAATGAGTGAAGAAGAGTCTGCGGGTTGCACGCAATACCTGCAGTTCCGGGGGCGGCTCGAGCAATGCCCTGTACAGTCGCAAGCAGTGCGACGGCTATCGCGCGTGCGACGATGAGAGAGGTAGAGAGCGACGCCTTGTGGCGAATTGGCGACATTGTTTGCGACGCTTAGAATCGTTGCGACAAAAATCACAGTGTGTCGCCGCGTGGCTATAAAAAACGAAGAATTCGTGGCTACCGCTCAATATGAGAAAGCTAAGGATTTCTCCGAAGATCCTTGTATCGAAACCGAAACGGCTTGGAACTGCACCTTCCAGAGTAATGTCAACGGCAAGAGCTATTGGGAGAAGGTCAAGAGTGCGCGTTCTACTACTGCATAGCTCAAGCTCCAAGCGTACAGAAACATAACATGCCTATTGTGTTCGTGCTTGCACACACTACCTCCACAAAGTTAACACCGACCGACGATGCGTTCCGCTCTATGGCTGTCCTAGACTGTAATTGCCTTGCTAGTTCCGCCTTGCGTCACTATCTCGCGAAAATGAGCATGCTAAATTCGAGAAACAGGCCGACAATCCTCTAAATGAGGCGCCTTCGCTGTGTCTATGAGCTTTCTCTCGGAACTAGCACCAGAGAGCGTTGCTGATAAATATTTCATGGGCGGCGGGGGATGAACATGGTCGTTTTATCTAGTTCTGGAGCAGCAACAGAACAACAACCATTTGGCGTGACAATAACACCTAGTCACGGTTTTGTTTGGTGCGTTACGGTTCCAAGAGTTGCGAAGAGGTACGCTGTTTACCTTGTGAAATTTTACTGAACCGCACTGCACACCAGGATTGCTTGACCAGAGCTTCCATCAGCCACGCCACAGACCAAAGCTGTCGGTTACGTCAGAGGAGAGTGGTGATCGCACCGTCCATCTTGCCTTCCTCGCAGTCGTCAGCATAATTGATGCGTCGGCGCTCCCACACCGAACCGCGCAAGGTTCTATGCTTCAGGACGCGACGCCGGCGGAATGGCGGGAATAATTTTGGTGTTCTGACATGCCATTGAAATCTGACCGTTAGGGGCAATGTTATGCCGCTTCCCTTTACTTACAAAACAGAGTTCGACGAAGTAATACACAAAGCAAACTTGTTACCAGTCAAAAAAATATGCGCTTAAATGGACCCCAATTTTTAGGAACATAACCCCAACACCCCAGCACAATCCTGAATTCAGCCAAATCAGGATAAAGCAATAGTTCCTGCTCCCCACTTCCACACGTCTTTCTTCTTCATGCTCATCGCATCCCAACACCGAGCAAAACTGTACCCGCAGCAACTCAAAAACACAAGCAAAAATGGACAAGCACACATTCGTGCAACTACCCACTGTATATCACTTCACTACGGTGAATTGCCCCTCTACTTCTTAACGTAAGCGTAATACTGGAGCATCGGAACCACAAACGCGATGACCAAAAGACCCCCCACGACCGTCGTGAATTGGTCGCGCTTCGAATCCGTCTCTTCACGCGTCTTGTAGTTGGATTCCCGCCTCGCGTCGTTGAACTTGGGCCCCGGAATATCCGGCTCCCCGTTGATCCTCGCTGCAAGGCGCTTCGTTGTCGAGTACATGGCCTCGTTGTAACGCTCCTCGGTGGCCAGGACTGCGGGGGAAAGACAGGTGGATTGAGGTGGGGGCGATGGGGGGTGGAAGTGGATACATTCGGTTCCCTATCAACACGCGCTACAAGGCGCTTCGCTGTGGAATACATGGCTTCGTTGTTACGCTCCTCAGTCGCCAGGACTGAGGGGAGAGGGACAAGCATGGGGGGAAGGACGGGAACGAAAGTCTTAAGGCGGCTTGATGTCAATACGCGCTACTGTGGAGTACATGGGCTCATTGTAACGCTCCTCACTGGCCAGGACTGAGGTGGGGGGATGAGCGTGGAATGGGGCAGGGAATGGGAGCGGAAATGTCTGAGGCGATTAACGAACTGGTTCCCTATCAACACGCGCTACAAGGCGCTTCGCTGTGGAATACATGGCCTCGTTCTTATGCTCCTCAGTCGCCAGGACTGGAGCAGAAAGAAGGGTTGAGGGTGGGGGGGGGGGGGGTTGTGAATGGGAATGTTTGAGGCGCTCCTCAGTCACCAGAATTGTGGGAGAGAGAAAGAAGGGGTGGGGTGGAGGAGGAACGGAATAGAGAAGGGGAGGAGGGAGTTTGGATGGAACTCTTCACAGGAGGGACAGGAGAGGAGAAGGGAAGAGCGGGGGGGGGGGGGGGGGGGGGGTGTTGGGGGTGGAGGGGTGGAAACGATAGGGAGATGGTAGTGAGGGGGTTTAATGGGGGGGACTCTGAGTTGACCCAAGCCGCTTAATTTCAGTACGCTTCACCCACTCTCAGTTGGCGTGATTTTGGACCAGGAGAAGGACAGCAGCAGCAGCAGCAACAGCAGCACAGACAGACACACGGGAGAGAACTATTCCCTCATAACACCTCATTGCCAATGGCGTCAATGAAGGTGGGACCGCCAGCGAAGGCGCCCTCCTTCTGCGAGGTGACGAGGAGAAGGGCACCAGAAGTACGGACCGAGGGACGGACTGAAAGAGCGACTGGAAAGGCAGACTCACCAGGAAGGTTCTCGGACACCATCCCCTCGAACACCTCGTCGCCAATCGTGTCAATGAACGTGGGACCGCCCGCGACCGCGCCCTCCTTCTGCGAGGTGACGAGCAGCACACCTGCGCGCTTGTCACCCTCCGTCTGCGAGGTGACGAGCAGCACGACGCCCAGACTGGAGGACACCTGCGCGCTTGTCGCCCTCCTCCACCGTGGGGAACACAGGGATGCATTGACAGGCAGACTGGAGGACAGGCACACTGAAAAAGCACCCTTACCTGGGAGGTTCTCGGACACGATCCCCTCAAACAGCTCGTCCCCGATGGTGTCAATGAAGGTGGGACCGCCGGCAACGGCTCCTTCCTTCTGCGAGGTGACGAGGAGAACAACGCCGCGCTTGTCGCCCTCCTCCACGGTCGGATACCACGACTCGAGAATCTTGTCCGCGAGTTCAAAGACATCGCCCTTGCCCTGCGGTGGGGTGGGTTGCGAACAGGAGAAGGGAATGAACGGAGATGTGACGGAGAGTAGAGGGTGCGAGCTGATGGCTGGTTGTCACCCTCCTCCACGGTCGGATACCACGACTCGAGGATCCTATCCGCCAGCTCGAACACGTCGCCCTTGCCCCGAATGGAGAAGGAGACGAGGGTGCAAGGACCGAAGAAGACTATCAGGGGAGGATGGGCGCAAAGGGGCGCTTGACGCCCTCCTCCGCCATGGGGTACCAGGACTTGAGGATCCTATCCGCAAGTTCGAACACGTCGGCCTTGCCCAGGAAGGAGGAGGGAAAGACAGGGAGAGAGTGTTCAAGAGGCTGGCTTGTCGCCCCCCTCCACCGTAGGGTACCACGCGACTCGAGGATCTTATCTGGAGTGACTGTCGTTCACGGTTCTTCTGAGCACGCGGGGAGGGGAACAACTTGTTCATAACGAAACGGACTGAATCGATCGAGACGTCTTTAAAATGATTTCAGTTGGTCGTCGAAATCCGAATTGACCGTCGTCTGTTCTCCAGCTGGGTGCGACTGTCATCGCTCTTTGGGCGTGGAGAGGGGGGGGGGGGGGGGAGAGCCGGCGGAGAAAAGCCACCAATGAATGGGAGAAATGCACAGCTTTCCCGGAGATTGCTGGGGTGGAAGTCCCTCGGATGGCCAAGTCAGCCGGCCCTGAATGGGAGGAGGCGGAAAATCTCGTTCTGAAAAAAAGACAAACACGTTAACACAGCGTGACCTGGCTTCGCTCCGGCATTGGAATCGATTCAGGTAGTGTATGAAGCTGGCGCGTTTCCAGTCGATTAAAAGCACTTTTGGCAGTGGAACTGATGAAGCAATACATGAAGTTGGGGTTGGAAGATGACTGTTGAGCCAACTCAGAACGCATCTCGCTACAGCATGAGCTTTATCGCAACGAGCAATGTTTTCCTATCCCTGCATGGACTCATTCAAGCTTATTGCGAGTCTCCTGACAACATAGTAACGCGGATTTTAGTACACTTACCGCAATCTTCCTCAGGGTTACAGCGTCAATGTGGTAACCAGTACGCTCCTCCAAATCCGTCAGAAGCTTCTTAATGTCCGACCGGGTGATTCGGCTGAGGACATTCGCGTCGTCGTAATAGTGCGACTCGAGCGGCGGTGGCGACCGCAGGATTGCGAACTCGTCGGCCTTAGCTCCGTCAACGGCTGACGGAGTCAGTTGAAGCGCGGCGGCTAGTCCGAACGCCGCTGCGCCGGTTCCTAGCTTCTCCCAGATGCTCTTCTCTTCCGAGCGCTTCTCGGCAGAAGAAGCGGAAGGACCGGCGACGCAACGCACTGCCTGGACCTTGGCGGTCTTCGCTGACGTGGCTGACTGCGCGACAGCGAGCTTCGCGCCAGCGAGGCTGCCGAGGGAGGAGGAGAGCGACACGGCAGCCATTGCGTGAGAATCTGGCTCGGTAAAAAGACACTACCGAAGCTGCTTGAAAAGAAGATGGGAGAGCGGGACAGGCGGGAAAAGCAGGGATCCCAACAAGCAAGCGGCTAAACTGGACTGAAGCGTAAGCTTGGGAGTTATTGGAATCTGCTGCAGGAAATTTGCATCAAGAATGACTGAAATGGGAGAATTGGAAATGCGGGAGTTGGCGGGGATGGGGCGGAGCTCCTGAGGAGGATGAACCGCAGGGCGGGGAAAGCATCAGGGCGTTGCTCGGCTCGACAGAGGGCGTTGCTTGGCTCGACAGAGGGTGTTGTTCGGCTCGGCAGGGGGAGTTTTTCGGCTTGGCAGCAATCGAACCAGTAGAGAGGCTTCTGTTGCTGGTGGAGATGGCTAGGCGGAGATGGGCTGCTAGGGATTGGCAGCTCGGAGCAGAAGCGGAACTTTGGGGGCATTGATGGGGGGAATCGCTGTGGAGGGAATGACGCAACTCTGTTCGAGGCTTCCTGGGGCGCTCGGTATGTTCGAGGTGCTGGTGCTGACATGTCGTCAGGCATTGGAAAGCTGACCTGGAATGGCTAAATCAGGTGACGTGGGTATCTCTGGTTGCGCGTGAGATCCACGTCGCGAACGAAGGGCTCCTTGTAACCAGAAATGACGACGGATGCTTCGTCTGCCACGACAGTCTCCGAATCTCCAAAATCTTTATTGGATTGCCCGCTCACTGATGCCTCGATACTAAACATCTTGGTAGGACTTGCGGAGATTAGAAAGAACTCTAGATTGTTGCTTACAACCCATTTGCCACTATCACATTTAGTATTTTTATGGCTCGACATATCAGTACTGTGCACTATTTATTTAAAAATTAGTGCGGGGGATTTTGTAAGCCCACTTAGAACACCACGTTCGCAACATCAACAGAAAGAAAATATGTATTGTCTTACGAACTCAGCTTACGGGTGCTTCAGCTGCCTCGTCAACAGCTCTATCCACTAATAGGGGAGCACTGGAATCAGCCGAAGGTCCTGACACTAAGCTTGCAGGTGCTTCAACTCCCTGTCTCTGAAAACCCTATCCACAACATCCACAGGAAGTGCATACGCTGGGTCTACCGGCTTGAGATTGGGATACTCCAACAGACTCAGGCCTGACATGAAACGGGGAGAGAGGTAGGTCGTTGGGGGGAAGGATAGTGGGAAAAGCGGACGGGTGAGAACATCTACAGGTGGCGCATAAGCTGGGTCCACTGGCTTGAGATTGGGGTACTCCAACAGACTCTGGCCTGAAACAAGGAGGGGGGGTACAGCAACAAGAGAATATCACACCACATACCATCATCCATTCTCTTATAGCTATCAGACCGCAGACCATGCATCCATTCTCTTATGGCTATCATACCTACCACATGCCATGCATCCATTCTCTTATGGCTATCATACCTACCACATGCCATGCATCCATTCTCTTATGGCTATCATACCTACCACATGCCATGCATCCATTCTCTTATGGCTATCATACCACATGCCATACGTAACCATGGTTCATGTGAATTATATGCTCTACATGCACTCACCAGCAATGCCAAAGAAGGTATGGAACACGTCCACCATGTCATTTGGTCGGTCTGAGATGGGTTCAGTAATGGTGGCACTATATGCTCCACATCCCACTGGTATGCTTTGTGTGCACCACTACACACTCACCAGCTATACCAAAGAAGGTATGGAACACATCCACCATGTCATTGGGTCGGTCAGAGATGGGTTCACACTATACGCTCCATGCTTCATAAGCATGCTACGCGTGCTCTATATACATGCTGTATGTACACTCACCAGCGATGCCAAAGAAGGTATGGAACACATCCACCATGTCGTTGGGTCGGTCTGAGATGCCACCCCTCTCCTCATCCTGTGTGCGTGCATGAAGGAGCGGGTGGGCGGATGGGTGGGTGGGTGGGGAGGACGGGACAGGGGAGGGAGACTTGAGGCGCCTCAAGAGGTGAAGCTGCCCTTTCCTTGTGGTGGTTTCAGAAAGCCTCTGTCGAAACCACCTGACACTGTAGCAGCTACTGCAATGCAACCACCTGGTAGTCCTTGATTAGCGAACTGACATTCAGAGCAGCACCTAGAATTGTTGCAACCACCTGAGACTGACGCAACCCCCTGAGTCTGATAAACAGATGCTGCTGTCGCAATTCCCTGTTGCAATCACCTGACAATTGTGCAATCACCTGACACTGTTGCAATCACCTGACACTGTTGCAATCACCTGACACTGTTGCAATCACCTGACATTGTAGAATAAAGTGCTGAAGCTTCTCCGCACTGATCCAGTGCACCCTGTCGATGAGCACAAGGCTGGAGAGAACCCACCAGGAGTAGCACACCTGAGAAGCGATAAAGGAAATCAAAGCAACATACAGGAGAAGAATACAAAGACATATTATAGGGTGGTTGTGGGTGAACCCTGTCGATGAGCACCAGGCTGGAGAGCACCCACCAGGAGTAGCACACCTGAGAGAGGGGCAAGACAGTGAAGCATGGGAACATGACTCAGGCGTGCGAGCTTGGGTGAGCTTCTTTGCACTGATCTGATCCAATGCTCCCTGTCGATGAGCACCAGGCTGGAGAGCACCCACCAGGAGTAGCACACCTGATGATACATACATGGGAGGACAGTAGGCACAGCAAAACAGTGAAGCACGGAAACATCATGAAGGGGTGAGAGGGAGTGAGAGCATGGATGCACTTTTCTGCACTGATCATCCAATGCACCCTGTGGATGAGCACCAGGCTGGAGAGCACCCACCAGGAGTAGCACACCTGAGAGGCATAGTAAAGCATGGAGAGGGAGTGGGAGGGAGTTAGCGGGAGTGTGAGCATGGGTGAGCTTGTCCGCGCTGATCCAATGCACCCTGTCAACGAGCACAAGGCTGGAGAGAGTGCTTTCATGTGCTCGTGATAGTCTGCTTGTTGATACAATCAGCAGAAGTCTACGCTGCAGCTTTCAACTCACGTCTGGCAGCTTCTCGGGTCGCCCGTTGAGTCCCCCTGCTGGCACCTGGCGCTCGCACAGCCACCAGCCACCAGCCCAGGAGGCAGGGTGCTCGCTAGCAGGTAGGCAGACGGGAGGTAGGCAGATAGTGAGCAGCATAGCAGGCAACACTCACGTCTGGCAGTTTCTCAGGTCGTCCATTGAGCCCTCCTGCTGGCACCTGGCGCTCGCACAACCACCAGCCCAGGAGGCAGGGAGGTCGTAGGCATATACCGGTAGGAAGAGAACAGGTAGCTACTCACATCTGGCAGCTTCTCTGGCCGCCCGTTGAGCCCTCCTGCTGGCACTTGTCGTTCGCACAGCCACCAGCCCAGGAGATTCCCGGGGTAGGTACCAGAAAGAAGGGACAACAATTCGTGTGTCACCCAGGTACTAGTAGGTAGGCAGGTAGTAGGTAGCTACTCACATCTGGCAGCTTCTCAGGTCGCCCGTTGAGTCCCCCTGCTGGCACCTGGAGCTCGCACAGCCACCAGCCCAGGAGATCCTGAGGCACCCTTGTCTACCAAAAAGTATTTTGTTCAGAAGCTATTAGTACTCGGATTGGTGGGTGCTCACATCTGGCAGCTTCTCAGGTCGTCCGTTCAGCCCTCCTGCTGGCACCTGCCGCTCACACAGCCACCAGCCCAGGAGATCCCGATCGACCAATGAGAGCGCGCCAGCTATTGCCAATGCGGCCACGCAGCAGAAGACTGGTTTGGATGGATTGATGGGCGGGGGAGGGGAGGAGGGGGAAGACAAAGAATGAAGGCGGGTGTGGAAGGAAGGAGTGGAAAGGATGAGAGGATCCTTCCAGAGTGGCAACACAGCAGCAGAAGGGCGAGTAGAAGACAGTTGACAGTTCATACAGTTGACAACGCGTACAGAAGTAGATCTCCCTCCCACTCACTCTGCCCTGCGTGCGACTCGCCACCCGGAACGGACCCAAATCCGCCGTCGAAATTCTGACAGCTGGCGATGAATCGGACGGCTGCAGGGAGATCGATGGCGTGTGTGCGATCGAGGAGAGAGAGGCAGGAAATGGCGCAGTAGGAGAAGCTGGGGGGAGGGGGGAGGGAATGGGGAGAGAGAGGGGGGGGGGGGGGGGTTGAGAGAGATGCAGGAACATGGGGAACACTGAATCGGACGGCTGTGGGGCGGTTGGTTGATGGCGTGCATGCGATCGAGGAGGGAGAGGCAGGAGATGGCGCAGTAGGAGAAGCTGGGCGGGGGCAAAGGGAGGGTGGTAACGACGAGAAGGCAAGGGAAATGAAGGATGACAAGCGGGACGGTGAATCAGACGGTTGCGGGGAGGTCGATGTCGTGAGTGCGATCGAGGAGGGAGAGGCAGGAGATGGCGCAGTAGGAGAAGCTGGGGAAGGGAGGGGGGGGTTGAAGGGGGAGAAAGGGGAAGGGAGGGGGGGGTTGAAGGGGGAGAAAGGGGAAGGGAGGGGGGGAGTGGGGTTAAATGCAGGAACATGGGCGAAGATGAATCGGAGTTTCTGGGAGGTCAATGGCGTGCGTAGAGAAACTGGAAGGAGTATGCTTGGGTGTGGGGGTGTGTGGAGGGGTGTGGATGGGTGTGGATGTGTGTGGGGCAGCACGGAAAAGAGGGGGGAAAGGATGGAGGTTGGAACAGAGAGAATGTAAACAGGCATGTGGAAAATGACCCCCCCATGCACCCCCCCACGCTCCCCCCATGAAAGACCCATCCGCCTGCTGTATCCCTGCTATGCCTGTGCGTGCCTGATTGCATAAAACACTTGGCCCCCCACCCATTGTTCTTACGTGCACCCGCTGTGTTCATTCCTCACCATGTGTCCACCTCCCCATGCACCCCCCATGCACCCCCCATCCATGCACCCCCCATCCATACATCCCCCATGCACCCCCCCATGCACCCCCCCATGCACCCCCCCATGCACCCCCCCACGCTCCCCCCATGAAAGACCCATCCGCCCGCTGTAGCCCGGCTCTACCTGTGCGTGCCTGTTTGCATTAAACCCTAGCCATTCCACACCTTGTGTTTACATGCACCCACTGTGTTCGCCACTCACCGAGTATCCACCTCTCCCCATTCGTCTCCTATAAAAGACCCATCCGGCTGCTGTAGCCCTGCTACGTCTGCCATGGAGGCAAAAAAAAAAAAAAAAAAAAAAAAAAAAACATGAACTACAAGTAAATTCATCCCTTGAACTTCACTTACAACTCAACTTTAACCCAATACGTGAGAGACAAGTAGTAAAAAAATCAGCCCGATTCGAGCTTGAAACAAATTCGATGAATAACAAGTCACGCCTTGTTATTCAAGACGTGAGACAGACTCCTTGAAAATTCTCATACGAGACTCTGATAAAACTTGACACAGCGCAGACGGGCAGGCGATGTGGCGATGAAACGAGGATTGATGAATTAGGGACTGACAGGTGGCAATGCGGTCGGCATCCACAGCATCCAGTTTGTTCAGTAGTGCGAGGATCTGGACGGCACTGAGTGTGTAGAGCAGGTGAGAATCATGCCCTTTGCTGCCACCGAAACCTCCTGAGAAAAAAAAGAATGAGGAGACAAGGACAAAATAAGGATCTGGACAGATGGCACCAGACGGCGCGGCGGGGTTGTGCATGTTCACACACATACGCATACATGCACACCCTCACAGGAATGACTTTTGAGTCGACTCAAAAGTCAGATGGCACCAGATGGCGGGGTTGTGCATGTGCACATCATACGCATACGAATACATGCACACCCTCACAGGAATGAACTCAAACACAGAGAGAGAGACACACGCACCATCTGGTTGCTGGCAGGAGAGCAGCCACGGCAGCATGGCGGGGCTGTGCATGTCCTTCAGCCTCCCCATGAGGTCCATCCATCGCTGTCAACCCCCAGTAGGCCCCGCTCCCCCCCTTTTCCTGCCCCCCTCCCCCACACACACGGACACACCGTTGGGTTGCTGGCAGGAGAGCAGCCAGGGGAGCATAGTAGGGCTGTGCATGTCCTTTAGTTTCCCCATAAGATCCATCGCTGTCAACCCCCAGTACGCCCCGCTCATCCTCAGATGCTCCGTTGCCACGTACTCGGTCCCCTCTGTTTTCTACAGTGACAAATTACGATGCTCATAGAAACAAACAAACAGACAACGAAACAAACAATGCTCACATAGTGAAAAGAAAGAAAGAAAGAAAGAAAGAAAGAAAGAAAGAAAGAAAGAAAGAAAGAAAGAAAGAAAGAAAGAAAGAAGAAAAAAGAACGAAAGAAAGGAAAATAAGAGAACCGTGGGGCTAAGAGAAGGACATTGCAGAGTAGGTTTCCATAATAGCTCAGCAGCAGCAGATTCACAGACTGTGATACCTCATTCTCTGCTGCTGCACGATAACACTTTGAGCCTGTAAGGGAAGCAAGTGGGGTAAGTCAAAATATCAGAATATTCCACAGAGCGAGTACCCTGTCCTGTATAGCTACCTTGAGACAAGTACTTCTTCCAGGTTCCTAGAGCATGTATTTTGTCCAGGTTCCCTGAATCACGAAGTTTGTCTGAATTCCCTGAACCACGTACTTCCTCCAGATTCACTGGCTCACGTACTTTGTCCAGGTTTTTTATGTACTTGGCATGCTTTGCCATCAGCAAGCGTCCTCGCGGATTCTGCGGATCAATCGCATCTTCCTCTTCGTCTTCCTCTTCTTCCCCTCCTCCTTCTTTCCCGTCTCTTCCGTCCTTCTCTCCCTTCCCTGTCTTCTCCTTGTCTGCAGTCTCCTCTGTTGATTCTTGCAACTTCGTTTCTATTTGAAAAGCCGAAGCTTCGCTTTCGATTCCAGCAGGTTCGTTGCCTGAAGGCCTCCTCTCTTCCTGTCCGTCCGATTTCTGTTCACTCGTGTTGCTGTGATTCTTCCCCGACGACTCGGCAGGATTCTCCGGTGCTGCTTGATTGCTGCTGTCGCCGTGATCGGCGGCCATGTCGGATTTCAAAGAGAAATAGATTGATATTGCATTGCTAGTAATGCGCAGATAATAGTAACCCTCTGACTGGACTATGGATATGGCTCAGGAGCTTGTCGGTGTGTTCGACTCGGCTGGGTTGGCACCAGATTGTGTGCTCTGGTAGCTTCGGTTGAGGATGGTTGGGAAGATCGAAAGTAAATAGGGGTTGAGTACGATGCTGTGCAATTTAAAGTGGTTTCAGAGTTTCAAGGTTTTGAAAGCCCACCAGATTGGTTTTCCATATGTGTGTGTAGCTTGCTTCAATTATTGTAATGTGCCGTATGTAGCTCAGTGAAAATTTGACTTTTTCATTGAGTTTAACATGAGATGTATTCATTATGAGTTTCAATTATTGCAGGAGCAGAAAATGTATAGAAACATATTCACTTCTAGTTCTGGTACAGTACATTCAGAGAAGTGTACAATTATTTGTTCACTAAAGCGTACGACGTCAGGGTTTTCGTCTTTCCAAGCGACCTCCATCTCCAGCCGCATCTGCAGCTCGTGTTCCACGAGCCTAGAGACTTCAGCAAATCCACGTAGTCTCTAGATTATTCATTCCCTGTCGTTGCAGCTTCTCCGTTTCCGCTCCATCAGTCAGTAGCCATGGATCCAGATGCCTTGGCCAAGGCGTTCGTGCAGCACTATTACACCACCTTCGACACATCCCGCAATAACCTGTACACGTTATACCAGGATCAGTCGATGCTGACATTCGAGGGTGAGAAGTTCCAGGGAGTGCAAAACATCCAGAACAAGATCTCGAGCTTGCCTTTCCAGTCCTGCACACACATCGTCAGCACGGTCGATTGCCAGCCGTCGGGTCCTGGAGGCGGAATGGTGGTGTTTGTCAGCGGGAGCTTGAAACTGGCAGATCAGGAGCATCCTCTCAAATTTAGTCAGGTAGGTTGCGGATTTTAGCTCGTTTTCCACTGATCTGCATGCTTTCCCCGTAGATCGTTATTTACCATGGTCTACGCACATCGTATGTCTGCCTCCGTGAAACTCGTACCGTCGTGCATTACTGTAGGGATCTCAATTATGTAGTTTCTCTAATGTTCGACGCGCTTCGTTTGTGCAGATGTTTCACTTGATGCCTACACCCGCTGGAAGCTTTTACGTCCTCAACGACATTTTCCGGCTGAACTATGGTTGATGACTTGGCTGGTGTATAATGAACCAATTATGGGACGATGTTCATGCATTATTGTACCCAACATAGTGAAGCCGTCTCCACTCTCATACACTGACTCACTGAGAAGGGCCTGGAGTAGATGACATGGTTGCCTACCTACTGAAGATGGATATATGACAGGGAAGACGATCATATGCGATAAGGTGAAACGTGAAACACGGTACTTGGTCTCAGAGGTGGTCGAGAAAGAGTTTCCTACAATTGGGACCTGCAGGTGCTTTGGCAGGAACATGAGGCTGAGGAGGAGATATCATTCGTTACTACCGTACCACTGCAACAAGGCTGTTGAAGAAGAATGACTCTGCAATGGAAAAATAATGTTACGCATCAATTGTTTACTAAACACACACGTGTTATGAGGGTGGTGGAGAGGTAGACACCATTCATTGAAATGGAGAGCTCCTGCAAAGGGGACATGCCCCAGCTGTTGCTAGCCACGTTGTGATGCATTGTTGGTGAAATGACTTGTTACAGCATGGGAGAGTGACTGCAGATTCCCCAGCAACCATTCAGAAAGGCAGACAATACACCTGGTGCACACAGGGGAGAGTACATACAGAGCAAAGAAGGCATCAATAAAGGGTGCACAGGGAAGAGAATGGAGGGGCATTTCCATTGTCAGGGAAAGATGCACAGGAACAATGGAAGAAGCAAGGGCTCTTGCTAGGATTTGGGCCTGTCTGAAAACACCCAAGTAAAAAATAGTTCCGCCTGACGATCAGACGGGCATTTGTTTTTTGTCTGATTTTCCAGACGATATTTTTGTTAAAGGGGCCTTAGCGCGGCGCTGACAGCTCGCTAGCTGACAGGCGTGTGGCTGTTGAGGGGCAAGCACGTGGCATTGAGGGGCTGCGAGGGATCAGGTTGGGTGGAGGGGCGCGAAAAGGAAGGGGGGGCTGGGCTGCTGCGAGACTTTACGAGGGGCATGGGAAAGCGGGCTAGGCTGGGAGCGGGGATCTGGGGAGGGGACCTAAGGCTGGGGGGAAGGGGGAGAAGTGCTGGACTATGCCTGGAAGAAGAGCGAGGGCATCAAAAGGGGGGCTGAGCTGTTTGAGAAGCGAGGATTGGGGGGCAAGGGGGGGGGGGGGGGTGGGGGGGGAGGGATTTCGGTATCAGACGAAGTAAAAATCCTCGTCTTGAAAATCAGATGAAAGCAAAAATCAAGGTCTGAAAATCAGACCATCAGATAACGAGAGCTCTATGACTGCAGATGCGACGGAGAAAGTCGTGAAATGGTGTAGTCTTGCGTTTGTGGGCCTGACGTGGGCACATAAACACTTACTCTTGATTCTCTTCTTGCTCAGCCACAATTGGGTTGGAAACAAGCTGCGACAGCTGTTGTGTGCTCGCACCCTTTTTCACCAACTTTACTGGTCTTGCTGCCACTTCTTGTCCCTGCAAGTGGAAGAAATGAGGTGGAAAGAAAGGACATAAACTAACTCAATTTAGCAGGATGGTTAGACAATTTCAAATAACGGCTATACTATTCTCTCTTAAGCTACACGTATTCATAACTGCAGGCTGGGCGTGAGTCTGAGGGGGTCGAGACTGAAGGAAGAAAAGATCAGCAAAGCAGGGAGGCATTGAATGGAGCAACTTGTTACCTCGTCTCTGCTGCTGCTGTTTATAGTCGACTGAGAATAAACATCGAGTTCAAAACAAGCCTCCTTTTAATTGAGCGAACTTTGAGTCAAATCGAAACAAATTTGCATACCTCATTTGTAAAAGAAGTCTCCACATCAATCACTGCCTCTGTTGACTCTGCCGCTCCTTGCGTGTGAGTGGCAGGAGCTCGTCCGGCCGAGGCTGAACCATCAGGATTCAGACCAAATGGGTGGATGAGTGGCAGCGTGACAAGGAGGCGCCAGGGCGACACGTGGCGCGTTCTCGTCCACACGATCCAAACAACAGCAAGTCGGAAGATAATCAGGCCGATGAGACCACCAATTACCACCAGAAGGCCCGAGATGGATAGAGCTCGGAGAAGGGTTGCAGAATCAAAGAAGTCTGGTTCAAAAGAGGAGGTGGTAGTGTTGGGAAAGGAGGAAGATGGCAGAGGTGATGTGATTTCCGGGGCAAAGACGAGGATGGGGACGGAGAAGGGTGGAGGAGGAGAGGGTGGGACGGGGTTGTTGCTGAGGGAGGAGAGATGCCGATGTGTAAGCATGGCTGGTAGCTGAGTTGAGAGGACTGTAAGGAACTATGCTGGAAGATGCCAAAACAGCTGTGCAGTAGAGCGGATTCAGAAGAGCTGTTATAGAAGAACAAAGGCTGATCAAAGGCTCAGTATAAGCTGTTGATTGCCTTGAAAATGCCTTGTCATTGCTGCATCACCCTCGCTTGGTCTCCATGGAAGCGCATTGACAGGGTAGTACAATCCCATTCAAGTGCAACCAAGCACTTCAAGAATGGAATCCGGGATAGCAGCAGTATAGACCAAGTCACTCAGTAACTGAAGGTTACGCAAGTACTCGTAACCAGAATCCGTTTAATCCGTCTAGCCAACGGACCAGGAATGCAACCTTACCCGCGATACACAAGGCACGGGTACTGACGCGTTCGAGAGGAAATTTGAGACGTCAAACTACCGGCTCAGAATGCAACTGCAAACTCGATTGCAGAAACACGAGATTGCTTCGCAGCAAGTCTGGCTTTGGAATGAGCGGATCGGCTGAAGCTCTAGAACTGACTTGCTGCTTCACTCACGCCAGGCGTGACAGGAGTGAGAAAGGCCAAGCCACATTCGACTTGCCTAACGCACCACGAAATTACTCTGCAGTTCCACCGGATTCGTGTCTCCGACAAGAGGTTTCAGTCGTCTCAACCTGACTCCCTTCTTGTGAGCTCAGAAGAAAATCCACAAGCAAGACGAAAACTGCGAAGATTGACGGTCCCCCGTCGAAAGAAAAATCGTCCGTGGTATTCAAACCAAGGACCGTTGGAGACGCGGACTGAGGCGAAAGAGTCTGCTTTTGAGTCGACTAATAAAAAGGAATCCGTAGTCTTCGAATCAGGGACCGTTGGAGACGCGGACTGAGGCGAAAGAGGTGAGACGTGGGTAAGCTCGCACGGAAATTGCGATGATGTGACGCATGACGCGCCACAGGACGCAAGCATTTTCTTTTCTCTAGCCAGTCTCGAAAGCAGCGATGCTCGAGACTCCAGCGTTCTACTCAACGGGTCCATCATCCCCAAGAGGGCTCAGATAGACAACTTCCTGCTAGTCCTTTCAGCCGACCACGAAAACACAGCATTAGGTGACAGCGACGGCGACGGCGAAGATTTCGAGAAGAGAGGCTAATCGGATACTGTTCCCTGTCAGCTCAAGCTAGCTGTATTTTGACTGCCGTATTGCGTGCTTTTCAATGCCTCGAGCTTGTCACTGTCCGTCACTGTGAGATTGTGAATGACCAGCAGCTGTCAATCACCGCCATGGCTTCCCCTCCACTCCAGCCCGTGTATTTTATTTGAAAACGGTTTTCTGCGTTTAAACCTGGTTCGTCCGTCTTTATTAACGGTATACAAACACCCTTGTTACACCCGGCAGCGCTATCCCCGATAGTGTCTGCAAGTGGCGGAAAGTGAGGCGGGTCGACGCATTCACAGTATCCATTTTCCTCAAGGAAAAATACACTTGGAGCATTCTGTTTGCAAATACGTACCACATGGGTTTGCCCACCCATTCCTTTTCTAAGAGCAGAACAAAGCTAGAAGTGTGTTTTTGCACACCCACAGCAATTCTTTCACCTACTTTAAACCTGTCTACGTATTTATGCATCATCGGTTCGGGGGTAGAACCCATTGACAGTGAAAGCACCATCGACAGCCAGCACTTGCCCCGACACGTAGGAAGCTGCCGGCATGCACATGAAGGCCACAACTGCTTCTGCCGCCTTTGGAGGCTCCCCTTATAAGCTCAACTATGCATCATCAGTCCGAGGGTAAAACCCATTGACGGTGAAAGCACCATCGACAGCTAACACTTGCCCTGACACGTAGGAAGCAGCCGGCATGCACATGAACGCCACAGCTGCTGCTGCCTCCTCCTGAGGCTCCCATTCAGATGCTCCTAAAGCACGGATTTATCTATGCGTCATCAGTCCGAGGGTAGAACCCATCGACAGTGAAAGCACCATCAACAGCCAGCACTTACCCCGACACATAGGACGCAGCCGGCATGCACATGAACGCCACAGCTGCTGCTGCCTCCTGGGGCTCCCTCTTGAGACACCACCACCACCACAGCCACACCACATGGTTGCACCCACTCCTGATTTGATTCTTGTCTCTCGTTATGGCAGCGCTGCAGCCTATGCATCATCAGTCCGAGGGTAGAATCCATTGACCGTGAAAGCGCCATCGACAGCCAACACCTGCCCCGACACATAGGAAGCGGCCGGCATGCACATGAACGCCACAGCTGCTGCTGCCTCCTGGGGCTCCCCCACCCTCCGCATCGGCGTTCGACTGATGACGTCAGCAGAGAACGCTTCGTCCTTCAGCACCTGAGTGGGGAGGGTTCCATGTTGAGAGGTTAAAATGCTAATGGTGAGTCAACTTGAGACACATAGGAAGCAGCCGCCATGCACAGCGCCACGGCTGCTGCTGCCTCCTGAGGCTCCCCCACCCTCCGCATCGGCGTTCGACTGATGACGCCCAATGGGGTGTGCCTTGTAGTATGGTGCATACTTTGTGCACTGCATACTGATTGATGCCTCTATTCGTATGGGTACCTGGTTGGCGAGGTCTGTTGCCATGTACCAGGGCGCCACTGCATTCACCCGAATGCCATCCAGGGCTCTTATACCTGGTTACCTGGTTACCCTCTTTATCTGGTTGGCGAGGTCTGTCGCCATGTACCACGGCGCCACTGCATTCACCCGAATGCCCTCCTTGCCTGACCCACTCAGCAGCAAGAGGTGCGATTGAATGGGAGGCTCTTATACTTGGTTACCTGGTTACCCTCATTACCTGGTTGGCGAGGTCTGTTGCCATGTACCAGGGCGCAACTGCATTCACTCGGATGCCATCCTTGGCCCATTCACATGCCAGGTTCTTGGTGAGCTGGTTCATGGCGGCTGGTTGGGAATCAAAGGGGGGTGGAGAGAATTCCAGCAGGAGAGACATGGAGAGGGCAGGTGAGGAGAGGGTGTGGGTGAAGTTACAGGGTCGTGAGGCCACTGCATTCACTCGGATGCCATCCTCGGCCCATTCACATGCCAGGTTCTTGGTGAGCTGGTTCATGGCGGCTGGTTGGGAATCAAAGGGGGGTGGAGAGAATTCCAGCAGGAGAGACATGGAGAGGGCAGGTGAGGAGAGGGTGTGGGTGAAGTTACAGGGTCGTGAGGCCACTGCATTCACTCGGATGCCATCCTCGGCCCATTCACATGCCAGGTTCTTGGTGAGCTGGTTCATGGCGGCTGGTTGGGAATCAAAGGGGGGTGGAGAGAATTCCAGCAGGAGAGACATGGAGAGGGCAGTTGAGGAGAGGGTGTGGGTGAAGTTACAGGGTCGTGAGGCCACTGCATTCACTCGGATGCCATCCTCGGCCCATTCACACGCCAGGTTCTTGGTCAGTTGGTCCATGGCGGCTGGTGGAAGGGCGTTGGGAAGAGAGGCAGGAAGGGGAAAGGGAGGGCCGAATGGGTGGGGGGATAGGGAGGGCCGAATGGGTGGGGGGATAGCCACAAGCCTGGCTACAGACGAGTTGAACACAATGCTGGCATTGCCCCTTGCTGCACCAGCAGCAGCAGGAGTAGGAGCAGTAGCAGCAGCAGGAGTAGGAGCAGTAGCAGCAGCAGGAGTAGGAGCAGTAGCAGCAGCAGGAACATTACCTTTGGTGGCGCCATAAAGAGTGCCTGACCGAATGGCAACCACCCCGGCTACAGATGAGTTGAACACAATGCTCGCATTGCCCTTCACTCCACCATCGCCAGCACCAGCACCAGCGGAAGCAGCGGCTTTAAGCAGAGGGTGTGCGAGTTGGCAGAGGTGGTAGGCAGATTCAAAGTTGGTGCCCCACACGTGGTGGAAATCGGCTAGAGAGTAGTCGACTGTCGGCTTGCGAATGTTGGTTCCCACGTTGTTGACCTGGACAGGAGGGAAAGGAAGAGGGAATTGGTAACGGGGGTGGGGGAAGGGAAGGCGGAAATGGGTGAGCGAGTTGGCAGAGGTGGAAGGGTAGGCGGACTCGAAATTTGTGGCCCACACGTGGTGAAAGTCAAAGAAAATGAGGAGGAACTGGCTACTTCTGAGCTTGCAACAGAAGAACATGTGCCCGCATACTCATAGCTCTTCAACCTGTAAACCTTTATTCACAATTAGCACAATTGTGAACGAGGGTTTACAGGATGAAGAGCTATGACTATGCGCACACATGCTCTTCTGCTGCAAGCTCAGAAGCAGCAAGCTCCTCCTCCTCCTCCTCCTCTTCTGCCGTTGCCGCATAAACACCACCTTCTAGTGCGAAGTGCCTGGAGCAGCAAGCAACAACGCCTCTGATGCTCGTGTGCAGCCCTCTCTGCCCCGTTCCTTGCTTCACTCGTAATAGCGCCCCTGAGTTCTTCTATGGTCTGCAAGGCATCATAGCTGTAGTTTCGCTACTGTAGCTGCCATCACACGCCCCCGTCCCACCTTCCTTCTAATGCAGGGACTTGAGAAAAATCTCCCACCACCAACCAATCAGGTGCAGATTCGTTTTTTTGCAAATTCTCAAAAACCGCCCGCAAACAACTGCCGGCCTACGTACCAGGTGGTTCAGTTTCCCGCCAAAGGTCTCTGACACCTTCGATATAAGCACCTCCCGCTGCTCCGGCTCCTTTACGTCACACGCCCACCCCGTCGCCGCCCACCCCTGCGACTGTAGCTCCCCCACTGTAGCTGCCACGTCAGCCTCGCCACGTGAGCACACAAACACGTGCGCGCCCAGAGATGCTAGCTCGTTGGCAATGGCACGACTGATTAGGGGGAAGAGGAGAGGGGAGAAGGGGAGGGGGAGAGGGAGGGGGACGGGAAGGGGAAGAGGGGAAGCGAGAAGAGGGGGATGAATGGGAAGAACGTGCTCGTCAGAGATGCAAGCGCCTGTGTGATGGCGCGATTGGGGTAGGCACGCGGAAGGGAAGGGGGCAAAAGGGAGGGGAGAAGGAGGGGAAGGGGGAAACAGGCGGATGGGCAAAACGTGAGCGCCCAGAGAAGCAGGCTCCTGCGCGATGGCGCCATGGGGGTAGGCGCACGGAATTGGGGGACGCGGGGAACACAGAGAGGGGAAGAACGTGTGCGCCCAGAGAAGCAAGCTCCTGCGCGATGGCGCGAATGATGGGGGGAAGGGAGGCGGAATGTGGGGGGGGGTCGAGGTGGGGGAGTGTGAGGAGGGAGGAAAGGGAGGAAGAGGGGGAAAAGGGGGAACGGGATAACGGGAAGCCTGCGAAGTGGTCGGCGGCATGATTGGACATTCAGAATCAGAGTACGCCTTTGGTTCAGAATCAGACTCGGAGGTTTCAGTGACGGGGATGGATTCCGTCACGAGAGTGTGACGGAAACGGATTCCGTCCAGAGGATGTGAAGGGCAGGGACGGATTACGTAGACGGGACGGATTCCACGAGGGTCTCTAGGAGATGGAAAGAACGGAAAGAGTATAACGGAATAATCGCGTCTGGTTACCCGATGCCTTTAGTCGCGCCTGTTACAAGAGCCGTCTGGCCGTCAAGTCTCCACCGAGCCGCCGCCATGACGGAATCTGGCGAGAACTGACGATTTGTAGACGCACGTGACGAATAGGCACTTCTGCAACGGCTGACGCACTGGGAAGCAGCAGCCGTCACTGCTGCAGTCAGGATTGGAACGAACGACCCACAACACTCCTCCTAACCCAAAGCGGATGCACTCCAATCAAATCAAATCACACTACTAATCTCGACTATTTTCTCTTGCAAGCGACTTTCCTGTCGGTAGGACAGACAGCTCGTTGTCAGATAATTGCTATGTCCGGGAGTTTCAGAAAGGCTCAAATTGCTAAGGTTGGGAACGTTTCCACGCTTTTCAGTACGTTCGAGTGAGGCTGAGAGCTAGAATGATATACTATGGAATCTCAGGTTTGAGGCTCCCACTGACTTCAAACGAGGATGAGAGCACGGCCCAGCCAAGCAAAGTAGATTTCGTTTTCGTTACCAATTCGCACGGACCTCAAGACCCTACCCAAACGTCATAAACTACTCGTTTACACGTTTTAACGTCAAGAACCGTTTTGTACCGCATTATGCATTGAATTCAAAGCATCTCAGATGGTTTGGTTCGGTGGGAGGGATTTCTATCCTACACCATGGATATGAGCTTACCAGACTGCACACAGCTTTCAGTTGTGTTGAGCAGGAAAGCAAAGCATGTGCTTCTGCTGCTGCATAGACCAGACCAGGGACCGCGTTTTGACATTTCTCAAAGATCAGTCTCTAGAGTTTTCAGAAGCGTTTCAACAGGTCTCTAGCAGCGCGCTTCGCCTCGCTACTAAACACGCCTGAACGTCAGTTTGTGAAAATTTAGCTCATTGTTTTTGGTTTCATGCCGCTTGAATCTTTTATCTCCGGTCGAAGCTCGAACCGCGATCATCATTACCACTAACTCCAAACGCGCAGCGAAAAAAAAATAATCTCCGCGGACCTAGGCTCCGCGTCGTTAGTACCTCCCCACCTCACGGCTAGAATCATCACCTAGTGATAGCGGCTTGGCCGTGTTTCCCGTTGATCAGTTCCTACCGACCTACTAACAGCCATGGCATCAGACGGACACCCTCCGGAGAACCTAACAGACCTCTTACGCTCTTTGGAAACTTACGATCCTTTGGTGAGTGCGTTGATGCGTTGTAAGCGTCTTCTTATGCCTTCTTCTCTTGAGGAATCTAGAGAGCTACGACCCGCTGGTGAGTGTGTTGATGCGTGTCTTCTTATGCCTTCTTCTCTTGAGGCGGCTGAAATGAGATTTTCATTTTCCTCCTGAAAACCTAACAGACCCATTTTGCGTTCGAGAGAGCTATGACCCGTTCGTTGCCTCCCAGTCATTTCTAAGGAAACCTGACGACCTGACTGCATACTATTTGCAAACATCTGGTGTCAGAAAAAAAACAGTCGTAAAAAAAAAGCATCCTTCTGAGGCGCCTCAAATTTGTTTGCTCCCTTCCTCCTCTTCCCCGTTTCCACACCTTTCAGATTCCTGACGACCTGATTGCGTACTATCTGCAACGGTCAGGCGTCAGTCATCCTGTTTTGACACCTCGCAACCCGTTCCCTCCTTTCCTCCGTTTTTTCGTTGCCACTCCTTTAAGATTCCCGACGACCTGACTGCATACTATCTGCAAAGATCTGGCGTCAGAAATCCCAATGTTCACGTGTAAGTGTATCAAAGCACACAAACAACACAAATGGAAGGTTGTAGATAAGCTTGTCAAGTCAAGCAACGCGAGTCAGTATACAAGGTCTTTAACTTGTTTTTGTGATTCCTCTATCCCGTCTCCCTCACTTCCCACTCCAATTCTTACCCCCTCTCACCCTCTCATCCCCTCTCTTTCTCCCACCCCCCTCTCTCGTTCCTCCCCCCTCCCCCCACATACCCTCACTCTGTGCGTGTATATCAGCACTCGCCTTGTGTCAGCAGCGGCTCACAAGTTCATAGGAGAGGTGGCCAGCGACGCTCTACAGTAAGTGTACAATCATTTCTCTACAGGCCTGCTATCATAAATAGTAAGTCTGCAAATGATAAAATTTCGAAAGTGGTAGATACAGTACCAATGCTTCACAATCATTCCAGTCTTGAAATTTTGTTGCAGATTTGTTCAAGAGTCAAACTCATGCGCGCCCAAACCATTCCAATGTGATGTCTAATCGCTTAGTGCCACAATTATTTCCTCCATTCACCTTCCCTCTTTACTCCTCAGAAGCTCAACGAAGTCATGTCTGATGGCTAGTGCGGCAATCCCTCCGTCCTCCCACCATTCTTCAGGCCCCATAACAGTGCGGGGGTGATGATGCGAGTGAAAGCCACCTTTGAGAATTCTCAAGGCCACATGCCGCCCATTGCTTGCTCTTCCCCACTCAGGATTCGACCCATCACACCCTCTTTCAAATCTCCATTTCCTCCTCCCCCCTCCCCCCTTCTCCGTTCTTTCTTCTCCAGCATCCTGCATTTTTAGGTTGTGCAAGACCAGGCAGGCGGGCGGCAGCAAGGAAATGAAGGCGAACGTAGTAGCAAATGCTGTCAATGCTGTTGCGCTCCCCCTCAAACTCTCTCCCCATTCCCCTCCCCCCTTTCCTTTTTAGGTTCTGCAAGATCCGGCAGGCAGGCAGTGGCAAGGAGATAAAAGCCAGAGGGCCCAAGGAGAAGAAGATTGTACTCACTACAGAGGACCTCGCTGCTGCATTGAAAGAGGTGATTTCTTATTTTAGAAACTATATTCAGCCTTATTGAAACGTTGGGGGTGGGGCATTGTTGTTCTGTTGCTTTCCAGCCTGTATGATTTCTTCTCCCTGACACGTGCATATGCTGTGTGATGTTGCTTTCCATCCTTGATGTTTTCTTCCCCCTGACCTGTGCGTTTGTTGTGAGGTGTTGTTTTCCTCGTCCCGCCTGTTCCCCGTCTGTTGCTGTGATCTCTGTTGTAATTGTGTCGCAGTATGGTGTGAATGTGCGCAAACAAGACTATTTTGTGGATGGACCAACTCCAGTTGTGGGAAGAACTGGAAAGCATTGATGAGATTACTTCTACTTTTACTTGTATGTGTTTTTTTTTTTAAACCGTTTTTTAACTGTCTTTTGCGGGGTTATCAGGCTCATAATATAATGCATGGTCTGTGCATTCAGAATAGTTTTAAAGGAAATTATAGCCTACCTGTTCATTTTCCCCTTTGAAGCACTGTTATGGTAAATGTAGTCCATCAATGATGGCTGGCGAGCCATTCTAGATTTGCAAGCCATTCTAGAGCAGCGAATAACGTTAATGTCGCGAGTCATCTTGTACCGGAATATTATACGTCTGGAAGGCGGTTTGGTGTGTGAGCCGACAGTTCTTTCTACCGTAATTGGAAGGCGGCAGAACCTAGGTAGTAACGGAGCCGCGTGATAGCTCTCTTGCGTTTTCCCCAGGCACGCATGTCGGGTAGCATATGAGCATGTCCGTTGAGCTGTTTCGAGCCACGCTTTTCCATTCATGGGCATGGCATGTCGCTTCGACTCAACGTCGTGACTCGTGTGATTCGTCGCGTGGCTGACCCGAGATCATAGCAAACGTCCAATCAGGTTCTTGCGACGCGATCAATTCTGTAGCTTAGTGCACGAGTTTCGCGAACGACGTGTCAGACCCAAGCAGGAACCCAGGCGACCTTTGACACTGCACACGCGATTTCTGCGAAATTTGAGGCGCACGCGCACGCCCACGCCGCTCCTTGGCGCTTTCCCAACCCCCTGCTAGGTAGTTCTGTCCCCCTTTCCCCCCACTTACCCTTTTCCACTCTCCGCCCGTACGTTCCCGAGCGCACTCCCCCCACACCCGCTTCTCCCCGCGGCTTCCCCCAACCGTTTCCGCCAAACCTTTCCCCGCGACCTCCCCTCCCCAAGCAGTCGCTATCAGTGATTGGCTTGCTGCTGCTTACCGGCTATCAAGCGATTCTCCCAAGGCTAAGCAAAAGTACAGCTTGTATACAGACGATCATCCCAACGGCAGGGAATAGTATAGTGTTGTGCATAGATTCGATTCCAGCGTGGCACAAGGATGATGAACGGTTGCGATGCGAGTTTGGTTTCGTAGAAGAGAAGGATCCAGTATTGGAAGAATCGCCCTAAATCACGTGGCTGACTGACTCTCTGCTGCAGTTGTCCGCGTCTCCGCGTCACGGCAAGATCCGCTATAGAGAGCATCGCGTCTTCGGCATAAGCCAGGGGAATGCCTCCGCCTGTTGATTGCTCGACTGGTCCCTGGGTAGGCTGAATTCGCATTGCCATTTTGCGTCACCATTCTTAGTAGTTCCGCCATTCTTAACAGCTCCGCATTCGTAGCTTCAAGATCTGTTTCTGCTCAAATGCTTAGCTTCAGAATCCGTTGCTTCTCACTTAGCTGTGGACGCAACCCATGGTTCATCCATTGTAAGCCCTGGATCCCATGGTTCATCAATTTTAAGCCTTGGAACCTTGTAAGGGATGCATTTTGAACTTCGAATCTCAATAAGCCTCTGTGGCTGATTCGTCGTCATATTTTAGCGTTTGAGCCGTCATTTATCCCTCGGCAGCTGTTGGTAGCTGTTCTAAAGCCGAAGCGCCTAGAGCTTGCCATTTCATGGGCTTTCTGGAGCATCACACTACAACAGCCGTTAACCTTCTGGTCCGCCTCAGAGCCTATAAGTAGGCACATATTGCGACAGGCGTTCTTAAGAGAAGCCATCTCCCTTCTTTCGGAATAAATTCCCCACCCCCCCCCTGTCTCACTTATTTCCCTTCTAATGACACTCGAATGACTCTCACAATCGGAGCTTTGATTCCACTCACGTTGGTCAGAGTCTCTCTATATAATCCCCAGATTCTAGCAGCCATTTTATTCCAACCAATCCCTAGATTCTCAACCGAGCTGAACCCCGTCCATGCGGCCATGCCCTGTTTTTAGCTGTCATTGGATGACCATTTGGTCCCATTTTTTTTTTAACCTGTTTATGTTGTTTGTTACGAGTCAATTTACAACATGTGCGTTATGGAACGACTCAAAAGGTTTATGTTCCTGTTGTTAATTTCCAGGTGGAGATGTGCGAGAGAGGAGCAGCACAGAAGGGTGGTGTGACAGAGGAGAGAAGAGAAGGAGGAGAGGGAGCAGATGCTGAGAAAGGGGGGGAGACAGAGGAGAAGCAACAGCAGGAGGAGAGGGAGAAGGGTGTTGAAAATGAGGCTGATATCGACGAAAATAATGGCAGTAGGGAGGAGTATTACCGTTACAATGATGGTGCTGCTGACGAGGCTGACGTGGATGATGAGGATGATGACGAGGATGAGGATGCAGATGCGGACGAGGTGTTGACAGTTGACGATGCCATTGATTCCATCGGTGAGCTTCTTCTCAGTGTCATAACTGGATCAAATCCGTGCTAGCTGTTGCGTTAGGGTTTGGAAATCTCGCCCCAGGTGATGGGGATGGAGATGCAGACGAGGTGCTGACGGTTGACGATGCCATTGATTCCATAGGTGAGCGTTTGCTCAGTACCAGAGCTAGTGTCGTAGTACCGCTAGCTGTTGCTTTAGAGTTTGCAATCTCGCCCCAGGTGATGGGGATGGAGATGCGGACGAGGTGTTGACGGTTGACGATGCAATTGATTCCATAGGTGAGCGTTTGCTCAGTGCCAGAGCTAGTGTCGTAGTACCGCTAGCTGTTGCTTTAGAGTTTGCAATCTCGCCCCAGGTGATGGGGATGGAGATGCGGACGAGGTGCTGACGGTTGACGATGCCATTGATTCCATAGGTGAGCGTTTGCTCAGTGCCAGAGCTAGTGTCGTAGTAACGCTAGCTGTTGCTTTAGAGTTTGCAATCTCGCCCCAGATGCGGACGAGGTGTTGACGGTTGACGATGCCATTGATTCCATAGGTGAGCGTTTGCTCAGTGTCAGGTAGTGAATGGCGCTTGATACAATGAAACAGTGCCGCTCTTCTCCCTGTCGGCCCCTACCAGCTCTTCCTCATGTGCTAAACTGGCCTCGCATGGCTGGCTGATGCCATGCAGATACTCTCTCCTTCATTTCACTCTCTCCCCTCCCTCCCCCCGCCAGGCTTCGGCCCCTACCAGCTCTTCCTCGTGTGCTACACTGGCCTCGCTGATGCCATGGAATTGCGTATCCCTTCCCATCTCACCCTTTTCGTACTGTCTCCCCTGTCACCCTCTATACTCTCTCTGTCTCCCTACCAGCTTTTCCTCATGTGCTACGTCACCTCGCATGGCTGGCTGATGCCATGGAGATGATTCTGCTCTCCCTCTCCCCTTTCGCTTTCTTTCTTCCTACCCCCCCCAACAGGCTTCGGCCCCTACCAGCTCTTCCTCGTGTGCTGCACTGGCCTCGCCTGGCTCGGAAAGAGTCTATAAGTCACCCCTTCTTCTTCCCCTGTTCTCTCCCCCTCAACAGGCTTCGGCCCCTACCAGCTCTTCCTCGTGTGCTACACTGGCCTGGCATGGCTTGTGAAGAGTCTATAAGTTCCCCATTCCTCTTCCCATCCTCTCCCTCCCCACCAGGCTTCGGCCCCTACCAGCTCTTCCTCGTGTGCTACACTGGGCTCGCATGGCTTGCTGATGCCACTGAAATGGCTTCTCTACCTTTCTCTCACTTTCTCTGCTCCTCTCCACACTTCTCCTGTCCCCACTCACTCTTTCACCAGGCTTCGGCCCCTACCAGTTGTTCCTCGTGTGCTACACTGGCCTCGCATGGCTCGCTGATGCCATGGAGATGATTCTGCTCTCCTTTGTGGGACCAGCGGTGAGGTGCTGGTGTATTGCCATGCTGATTGATCATGGTGTGCGTATGCAGGAAGTTGAGGTGACTTTTGAGTCGACTCAAAAGCCATGCTGATTGATCATGGTGTGCGTATGCAGGAAGTTGAGGTGACTTTTGAGTCGACTCAAAAGCCATGCTGATTGATCATGGTGTGCGTATGCAGGAAGTTGAGGTGACTTTTGAGTCGACTCAAAAGCCATGCTGATTGATCATGGTGTGCGTATGCAGGAAGTTGAGGTGACTTTTGAGTCGACTCAAAAGCCATGCTGATTGATCATGGTGTGCGTATGCAGGAAGTTGAGGTGACTTTTGAGTCGACTCAAAAGCCATGCTGATTGATCATGGTGTGCGTATGCAGGAAGTTGAGGTGACTTTTGAGTCGACTCAAAAGCCATGCTGATTGATCATGGTGTGCGTATGCAGGAAGGTGGTGTGAAACTTGGTGTTGTTGAGCTTTGACATTCTGATTCCTCAGAAACTGATTCTGGTGTGCTTTAATAGCCTAGCCTAATCTTCCACGTGTTATGTCTTGCCTGGATTGCTGACGTCATGGAAGTAATTTTCCTCCTCGCCTTTTTGTGCAAACAGCGGTGAGTTCATTCAAGCCTCAGTGGTTTAATTTACCCTGCTATACTTTGGTTAAGCATCGCTTGCTGCGGCATACCCTAGATCTCTCAGCAGCTTTGAGAGACCACGCCACCACCACCACCACCATTGGCCTCTAAACTACCCTTTGACCACACCACCATTACCAATGCAGGGGATCGTTTTCCCTCTCTGCCTGGTTTCTTCTTCCCCTCCCTTGCGTCATCCCATGCTATGCTATCCCTCATCCTTTCTTCCCGCCAGGCACGGTGTGAGTTTGGTCTGTCAGCAGCAGAGGAGAGCCTTATTGCGAGTGTGGTGTTTCTGGGTGTATTTCTGTAAGTGCCCTTTCAGTCGACTCAATATAGTCTCACTCGTTACTGCAATGGTCTCAGCAGGGGAGGAGTGCCCTTTAGCCAGTCCAGTACGATGGTGTGTCGTGTCTTGCTAAATTTCTCTAAGCTATCAAGGTAGGGAACACAGCCTGTGCTCATTTCGGTTCAACCCCATATCCCTTCTATCCGTCTTGCATCTGCTCTCTTCACAATCAGCCACCTCGTGTTTCTCTTCCCCCCTTCCCATCCATCTCATTACACCCACCTTCCATCTGTCTGTCCATGGCATGGGCTCCTACGTGTGGGGGCTCGTGGCAGGCTGTTGCCTACAGCAGAGGAAAGAGTCCTCCTCGCTCTGCCTCCCAGTGGCTCTGCGTCTCGTCTCTCTTATCCCTTCCATGCGTCTCCTTTCACCCTCCTGCTGTGTATCCGCCATGGCAGGGGCTCGTATGTGTGGGGGCTCGTGGCAGATGCATACGGAAGAAGGAGGGGGTTCATAACCACTGCTCCCTTCACAATCAACCACCTCTCGCCTCTCTTCCTCCCGTGCACTCATCCTCTGTCTGTCCATGGCAGGGGCTCGTACGTGTGGGGCCTCGTGGCAGATGCTTATGGGAGAAGGAGGGGGTTCATGGCCACTGCTCTCTTCACTCTCTTCGCTGGCTTGCTCAGGTGATTCTTCAGGTGGTTTTTCAGGTGATTCTTCAAGTATTTTTTCTGGTGATTTTTCAGGTGGTTTTTTAGGTAACTCTCCAGGTGGTTTCAGGTGTTTCTCCAGGTAGTTTTCAAGCTGTTCTTCAGGTGGTTTTTCAGGTGATTCTTCAGCTTGATTTTAGCAAAACAGTTCGCTTTGCCATCAGGAGCATATCGCTTGAATACCACCAGCCACCACCCCCCTTTTCCTTCTTGCCTCCTTCCGTTCCCTCTTACCATTCTCTTCTCCTCGTCCCACACACTTCATTCACACACGGTGTGTGGTCACCCACCTTCCTCACTCTCCTCGTCTCCCTCTACCTCCTTAGCTTCTGGTATCCCCCCCGCCCTTCATACCATTCTCTACCCCTCTTCCCCTCACCACACAGTGCCTGGTCACCCACCTTCCTCACTCTCCTCGTCTCGCGCTGCCTCGTGGGGTTCGGCATTGGAGGGGCATCGGTGGTCTTTTCCCTCTGCTCCGAATTCCTTCCCTCCCACTCTCGGGGTTTCTGGCTCGTCTTTATTGAGTTTTTCTGGACTGTAAGTGACATGGTTATCGAGATCAAAACAGAAGAAGATAATATAAATAACAAAATCTCCACGTTGAAGATAATAATCTCGTAGGCAGGCCTACCACCGTGCCTCCCACCCACGTTTTTGCCTCCCACCTTCTCCCATCTCACCATGTCTCTTTCTTCTCCTTTGCCCCTCACCGTGCCTCTCACCGTGTCTGTCACCGTGCCTCTCACCGTGCCTCTCACCGTGTCTGTCACCGTGCCTCTCACCGTGCCTCTCGCCGTGCCTCTCACCGTGCCTCTCGCCGTGCCTCTCACCATACCTCTTGCCTTTCCCATGCCTCTTTCTTGTCCTGCCAGATTGGCTCGCTAATAGAGGCGGCACTTGCTTGGGCGGTCATGCCGAGCCTACACTGGAGGTATGGAAATTTACCGAGCCTGCTTCAAATCTCTGGAAAGTACTGTTGCCCTGTTGTGAAAGGTTCTGAGAAGTTCCTGTGTAGTACAGCTAATGCTCTTTCACTGTTCTAGCCCTCGTTACTCCTCCCGGCCCCTCTCTGCCCCTCTATGTGGCCCTCTCTGCCCCTCCCTGCTCGTCCCTGCCCCTCTCTTCCCCTCTCTTACCCTCCCCGCCCATCCCTTCACCTCCCTAATCCTCCCTCCTCTTGCCTCCATCCCAGGGCTTTAGTGCTCCTCTCTGCTGCGCCCTTTGCTCTCCTGCTTCTGCTCTCCCCCTTCCTTCCTTCCTTCCCTCCCTCCTGAGTTGCAAATTACCTTGCTCTTCTTGCCTCCCTCCTTCTCAGCTTGCCCCCATCGCTTCCTCGTGAGGTGAGTGTATTTTTGAGACGTCTCAAAAATACACTCACCTCACGTTGCTCTTCTTGCCTCCCTCCTTCTCAGCTTGCCCCCATCGCTTCCTCTTCAAACTCTCGCTCCCTGCAGCAACTCTTGGCTCCATCCCAAGACGCTAGTGCTGCTCTCTGCTATGCCTTCTGCTCTCCTGCCATTCCTCTACCTGTTCTTTCCTGAGTCGCAGTGTTCCTATCGAGCACCAAGTAGGTGCCGTGGTTTCAATACGTGGCAGCAACTCTTAGGGATTGACACCTTGAAAGGTGTTTTGTGTGCTTGTGTAAAAAAGCTCTTGTAAAAAATTCCTCTACCTGTTCTTTCCTGAGTCGCAGTGTTCCTTTCTGCTTTTGCTCTCGTCCTCCCTCCCTGCCTCCCCTCTTGCCTCCCTCCCACCCAGGGTGCTAGTGCTCCTCTCCGCTACGCCCTTTGCTCTCCTGCTGCTGCTCTACCCCTTCCTTCCTAACCCTGTCACGTCCTGTCTCCCTCCCTCCCTGCCTCCCCTCTTGCCTCCCTCCCACCCAGGGTGCTAGTGCTCCTATCAGCGACGCCCTTTGCTCTCCTGCTGCTGCTCTACCCCTTCCTTCCTGAATCGCCCCGGTTTCTCCTGGTCAGTACAAGTTATGGGTGGGTGGGTGGGTGTTCTGGTGGGTGGGTGGGTGGGTGGGGGGGGTATGAATTCGTGGTTGTATGTTGTGGGTGAATGAGTGGGGTGAGTGGTGGTGGATGGGTGGGTATGTGAGTGTGAGTGGCCATGTGCAGTGGGGATGGGTGGGTATGTGAGTGTGAGTGGCCATGTGCGGTGGGGGTGTAACTCCAGTATTCGTTATACGCACCTAGTTTTCCTCGCACATTCTCTCTCCTCCCCTTCCTCCCTTTCCCGCGCCCTCTCTCGCTCCTCCCCCTCCCTCCCTTTCTCCTTGCCTTTCTCTTTTCAACACATGTCATCCCCTTCTCCCCATTCCTTGACCTATCTCTCCTCCTGACTCTCCCCTTTTGGCGCCTCCTATCTCCCCGCGTTCCAACCTGTCTCTCCCCCTCTCGCTCCTCCCCGTCCCTCCCTTTGTCCTTGCATTTTCTCTTTTCAACACTCGTCATCCCCTTCTCTCCATTCCTTGACCTATACCTCCTCTGACTCTCCCCTTTTGGCGCCTCCTATCTCCCCGCGTTCCAACCTGTCTCTCCCCCTCTCGCTCCTCCCTCTTCCTCCCTTTCTCCTTGCGTTTTCTCTTTTCAACACTTTCTCTTCTCCCCTTTCTTGCCCTATTTCTCTTCCTGGTTCCCCCCTTTCCGCACCCCCTCTCCCCGCCTTTCCTCCGTGTCCCACACCCTCTCTCCCCTCCTGTTGCTCCTTTTTCCTTGCCTTTTCTCTTCTCAGCACAAATCATTGACTTTCTCCTCCCTGCTTTCCCCTTTCCTTGCCTTGTCTATCCTGCCCTGCTCTCACCCTCTTACTCTTCCTTTCCTCCCTTTCATTTGCCCTCTTTCTTCTCCGCTTAATCCTCTCCATCCTCCCTTCCGCTTGCCCTCTCTCTCTTCCACGTCCGCTCTTTCTCTTCCCACCCTCTCCCTCCCCTTCTTTCTCCCCTTTCCGATCAGCTCAAAGGCAACACGTCAGCAGCACACATAGTTCTAGAAAAAGCCGCCCGAACCAACGGCAAGCGCCTGCCGCCCGGGCGGCTAGTTTCAGCCGCATCTGGTCCAAAGCTACTGGCATCACCACGCCCCTCCTCTCCTCCTCCCGCCCATGCCACCTCCTCCTCTCCTCCACCCTCCACTACTAAACACCGTTCCTCCCCCTCCTCCTCTTACTACCCTGTCTACTCCTCCTCCTCCTCATCCGTATCTCATCCCTCCTCTCCTCCCCGCTGTTCCTCCACACTTGTCTCCTCGAACGAGACCTCCTTAAACTCGTCTTTTGATGCCGGCCCTTCTATGCCCTCTCAGCCCTCTTCCTCCCGAATATCTAAAAGGGCAACACTCCATCACACATTTGAGGCGCCTCAAAAGACATCCCAAACGGCAACACTCCAACACACAGCACTTGAAAGCACAGTGCTCCACAGAAAAACGCCTCAAAGCACACACACGTCTAGCCGCCCTTGTTCTTTGTCTTTCTCTTCCTCTTCCTCCTCCTCTTTCTCGCCTCTCCCATCACAACCGGTATCAGCTGAGTCTACTGACAGAGAGCAAAATAGTCAACACGATTCGCATTCCAAAAAGCAGCTGCCAAACCAGCAGCATCCCCATCCCCATCCCCATCCTCATCCCCATCCCCACCCACACCCCCATCACCACCACCAACATTCCCACCCGCATCCCCACTTACCTCCTCCTCCCCACCACCCCTCTTCCTCCTCTCTGCACAAACTCGCTAGCCTCCTTTCCCCCTCCCTCCTGCGCTCCACGCTCGTCGTCTGGCTGCTCTTTTTTGCCTCGGCCTTTTCCTACTATGGACTTGTGTTGCTCACCACTCAACTCTCCACTCAACCCAGCAGTCAACTTCCGTTTCAACCCACCACTCAGCTGTCTTCCCAACCCACCACTCCGCACTCCTCTCAACCCACCACAGTAGGAGGAGCAGCAGCAGGAGCAGAAGCAGTGGCAGCGGCGGCAGCAGCAGTAGCAGGAGGAGGAGGATCAGAAGCAGCAGCCGGAGAAAATGCATCGTCTTTCCATGGCTCTTCCCCTGTTCCGTCCAGAGGCTTGCTAGATAAGCAGCTCCATCCCATTCCCACGGTAGCCATTGCACTCCCTCCCCCTCCCCCTCCTCCTCATCCTCCTCCTCTTCTCGGGCCTAACTCACCCAACCATCAACAGTCTCTTCCCTCACTTCGTCGTTCCTTGGCTTTGACTCAGCAACAAGATACCTCCACCCCAAATAATTTCTCGGCCACTCACTCCCCTACCTCCTCCTCCTCCTCCTCCTCATCTTCCTTGTATTCCCATTCTCCCTCTTCCTCCTCTCCCTTACCTGGGTGCACACCTGAAAATCAACCTGAGATCTCCTCCCAGACCTATTCAGATGTTTTTATCACTTCAGCTGCAGAGCTGCCCGGTCTTCTCATCGCGCTGACCGGGGTCGAGATTTTAGGTCGAAAGACCGTCCTCTGGGTTCTCCTCTGCTTAGCAGGGCTTTTTTTGCTGCCCCTGATTCAGCCCTTGCCGCCCACTGCCACCACGATTTTCCTTTTTGCTGCCCGGGCAGCAATCATGGGGTCATTTGCGGTGCTCTGGGCATATACCCCGGAAATTTACCCGACCGAGATAAGATCTACAGGCCTCGGGGTGGCAAACTCATGGGCAAGGTTGGGCGGCTTTCTTTGTCCGTTTGTGGCAGTCGGGCTGATCGAAGGAAATCACAGGGTAGGTTTGGTTGTATTCTTTTGTTTCTTTTTGTTTCGGTTGCTCTTTGTCTGTTGCGTGTGGTTACCAGCTTTGTCCCTCTTCTAACCGTGCGAGCCTGCACATGCACACACACACATACACATGTGTTTGTGTGCGTGCGTGCATGCACACTCTCTCCACCCCTCCCCTCTCCCTCTCCCCCCCACCCCTCCCCCCCGCCCCCCGCACTTAGTTCAACAAATTTTGAATCGTGGAACCCATTGCGAGTGTTTTATGTGTGTGTTATTGGCATGGTGCAAAATCTGTTGTTTGCTCTCTGTTTGCAACCTCTCCCATCCTTCCTGGTGTCCACTTTATTTCGTTGTCTTTTGAGGCGCCTCAGGACTCAGGAGGCCTCTTATGTGCTCTCTGCTTGTTTTCAATGCCTCCCCCACTACCATGTCTGCCTCTTGATTGGCTCATGTTCTATGCTGATGCTCTTGTCACCTGCGGGTTTCATGACATTTTTTTACTGTGGTATCTCATATCTATTTGTATTTCCTCCTTTTTTGTTTTCTAATGCAGGAGTTGGCTATCTTCCTTTTTGTCTTCGTTCCTGTTTTTGCTGCCCTCGTTACTGCATGCTTTGCATCAGAGACTAAGGTATGTTCATGCTTTCGACAGAGTACTACCGAACTTACTGCGTCAGGATAAATTTTGATGAATGGCCATCTTCCGTTTCATCCAATCATTTTTCATTGAACATGTTCTCCTACCTATTTTCACTTGTGCTGTATGTAGGGGACTGCTCTTGGGGAGAAGGTATCTACCTTTCGACCCACCAGCCAATCACCGAGCAGCATGTCACTTACCAGCCCCACTTTTTGTCAACCTGATGGAGTGGATTCCTCACACAGTGCAGCTCGCAGCTGGTTTCAAGTGTTTGGGGACGATAGCTCGTGCAGTGACTCTGATTAACCCCTTACATTCTATCTCTTGTCATGTATGCTTCCGAAATCACTGCATTTTTCTAAAATATGAAGTAAATTATCCCTCTTCTTCACAAACCAAAAGGGAACTCTAAATGTATTTTTTATTATAATGTATCCAGTATACAGATTAGAGTGTCTTTGGTACTACGTCTATTGAGATGAAATAATTCTTGTATCAGGTTTCTTATAATTCTTGAAATAATTCTTATAACACCTACTTGAGTTGCCCGTGCTATGAGGGAAGAAAATATCGCCACACAACGACAGCGTGGGATACGCAAGCAGCGGCACTTGGCTGTTCCAACGATCACCGCGTTGGCCTGGCTTGGGGAGCTTACTGTACAGAAATCGCGCTGTCGATTTACTGTCTTGCATGCAGATTGTGAACTCAACAGTTCCAGGACGGGCAGTCCATGCCTCTTTTGTGTGGCACCTCGTGATTCACAAACATGAACTGGGTGTGGGGTGTTTGTTTCAAACATTGGTTCGATTTACGAAATACAGTTTAGGATGACTTGGTAGTTCTGTTACTCCTGCTTCTCAGTTTGTTGTGACCATCGTGTAAGACAACAGGATGGTTCCATTTCCTCCCCTAGCATCTCTGCTCCCTAGGAGTTTAATGAGTGCAAAATGGTGAGGCTGGTGAAATAAGTGTGCGTTTCTGCGCTGAGTGGTATTCCTCTTTTACCCTGATTCGGGCAGGTGGCGCGCGAGATATCCCAGTACGGACACTGCATTTTGTGACTTAGCTGGGCGTGGGATGTCATGTCAGCAAGAATGCCTTCAGTTGTGCAAGTGCAATGCAGACGATCAGATCATCAACTGCATGACGTCATTATCACGTGACACACTGTGATTACACCCTGTTTCTCGATTTTCGGACAATCGGGAGCCCCGGCTACAGTGCGCACGTGTGCTTGGATTCAGCGGGCTGGTGCTTGCAACCAAAATGCACTTGAGGAGAACGGTAGACAACGGTTCATGAAATAAAACGTGCTTTTGCGTTTGGTTGCGTGCGGCAAAAGTGCTTATATGGTAAGTTCTGGGACCAATTTGGATGCATTGATGTCAGTACAACCGGCTTGTCAATATGGCGAATGTCAGTGTGGCGCGAAACAGGGTGTACTGGTTAAAATTGACCACGCACCTCGGAGCGAATAATCAGCAGCACCAAATCACAAGGTTCTGTATTGTACTGTACATTGTATACTGTGGAGATTGGTGCATCGTGTTAGGATATTTCGTTCCTTCCGGCGTTCGTGTGAGTCATGCTGGAACAAGGAGGATGGCA